AAAAACAAAATAAATGCATTGCAAGACAACACATACAGAGACATATACCAGTTTTAATTAATTGGGTTTTGGTTGCGTTCACTTGAATTGAAAACTTCGTGAACTGCCAAAACGTTTCTCCTTTCATATTTTTCTATGTACGTTTTTGCAATCTTTTCCAGCCCAAACTTTCGATGTTAGAAAATGGCAACTCTACCATAACGGTAATGACAAATGCGATGCAATAAGTTAAAACCAACGAAGCCAGAGAATATGTTACCTATAGAAATATATATCATATTTATATATCTACATTTCAAAAAATTTAATTATTTATAAAAAATTAATAGGTAACTGCATGCATTGCTGTAAATAAATAAATATTTCGATGGATTACGTGATAGATGTAAGATAAAACAATAAAATTAATTAATAATTTAACAATATTAACTTACAAAAGTGAACCAAGTAAAATGTATAGGAGTTTGAATGTTGTACTGTAAAACTAAAATCACATCAAAATGCACAAGATAGGCAGCATAATTGATGCGACTCAAAGGAATCCAAAATTTTGCTCCTAAAATGTTTTGAATCCAACCTATAATGAGGAATATAGAATCTACAACTTTATGAAACAATGAAGTTATTATTAGACATAAAACAAATTGTTGGTATTTTCAATATTTTTTTCTACAACACAATAAATGCATAATTTTGTCAGTATAATAACAAAGTATACTTGAGTAGGTTTAGAACCTAGCTATACTCACACTTATTTCTTAAGGGCAATTGCCTTTCCCACCTTCTCACCCCATGGCTATAATTGCTACATAATTTAAACACAGAGTTATTATAATGTATATGTAAAAAAATTTCCTTCTCACCTGCATAGCCATAGTGACAAGCAAATATGAGCCAAACTATAAACAGACCCCAGATGAACCATTTAAAAGCCCAGAAAAACGCACTTTCGGCTACCGTCCATACATGAGGATCTTCTTTTACTGAACTGTATGGAGCATATATATCGGTCAGCGCCAAAGCTATGGTAGATATCCAGAGAAACACGACTATTTTCTAGAATATAAATAAGTCTATGACACAAACCATATTTTATCGTCAGCACATTTCTAATGTAAATGCTTGGGATGGATTTCCCGCAACGGTAGTGAGAAAACAATATTTGCAGTTTAGCTGTTATGAACTCAATTAGGTAAGTACTTGTACAGATACGCAGGTCTTAAAATCTTCGTTACTTTTTTTCCAAAAAGGTATTGTTAGCAAAGTTATGCAAGAATTTGAAAATTAAAAGACCCAAGTATATCATTGACAATTATTAAATAAGCTTCAACGCGAAATGAAGAATTATCATGTCAAAATTTCTGTTATAAATTGAAGTCAAAAACTGAAGTTTGATAAATGACGATGAGTCTCGATAAATTTGTTTAATATTTTAAACGCAAATTGAATGAAAGTTTTGGAATTTATTCAACAAGAATGGACATTTTATCGAACACCACTGAAATGGGACTGCGTGGCTATATGCAGTTACATTTCTACTTGTCATGACGTTATACGCGTGCAATAAAATGTCTCTTCCGTGACTATTACGCAGGTACCAACAAGAAAACTAGAAGTTTTGAAAATTCTTTTTATAACTAACTAATTCCATTTACCAAATTAATCCTGATTTTGTTCAAGCAATATTTCTGAAGATAATATCCAAGGATCATTCCCATTGCATATGGTGGAACACGACAATAAGTTTTAAAGTAAATATCGATTGCATTATAGTGAAGCTGTAGAATCTCTTCCTTTGGACGGAAAAAACTGTAAAATACAATACAAAAATCAGATGAATTCGAAGTTCCACCAAAGAAAATCTTTTCTAAATTTCTCTTAAAATTATGTGCTATATAATTATGTATAAATGCATGATATAAATACTTCTAATATATTGATAAATATATATGATGAAATTGTGATTAGTATGGTGTAATATTAATAAATTCAGAACAACTTACATGTTCATTCTAAACAAGGCATATGATGACATTGGATAAATATCTTCAGTAGCTGCAATGCAAAATGTGGTAATCATGCTACCAAGAATGACAACGCTTGCAGCCATGAAGAGTACGCGAAGACCATATCTCGAAAGGACAAAAATGAAAGCATATTATTACCTATTTGTGATATGGACTTTGTAAAACATACCTGAACGGAAAAATTGAGAGTTTTAATAATAAAGGCGTGAAGAAGGATTAAATGTATTACGAAATAGCAATTTAGTGTTGATATGAGACTGTTAACTGCCTGGATATTACAAATACTGCTTTAAAAAGCACAATTGTCATGGTGAATAGCGAAAAAAACAACGAAAGAGTTCTAAAAAGAACTGTTTTAGAACACTTCCTTAGAAGAATTTTTAACAAAAAATTCTTGGGCTCTTTTTTGGCCATTCACCTTAGCAGTTGAGTTTTTTATAACAATATTTAGATTTTTCCGGGATATATAGTTTTAACATCATGATACCGTGATTAATGATAACATTTCTATTAGATATATTGAAATGATTGTTTTGTGTGAAACTACCTGTATCCAATAAGAAGAAAGATTGGAGATATAAAATAAAGTTGCATATCAACAGACAACTGCCAGCTTGGATCAAGACACAACTGAAAAAAAACATACCCGTCAATTTTTATCACTAGACCTCTATCTAAAAATTCTCATTTTTCCTTCATTGCTTTAGAAATATTTTGTTTACACATTAAGTGAACAAAGAAATATAGCAGTACTGAATATAACAAATTGAGCTGACTACGCCATTGCATGAATACCCTTGTGGAAGCGAAAGCAATTTCACAGTGTAAACTTGCATGCATCATTTATAAATTTGACGTGTTAATGTTAGTTTGTTAAAAAATATTCAAATACGTCATAATAAGATACAATTTAACAAAAAGAATGATAGCACAGCGCTATAACCAACAACTACAAACAATAACGACCTTATCTAACAACATTTGAGAAATTAATCTTCCACTCCTCTTCCTTGTAAACCAGACAAGTCTACTCAAAAGCAGAGAGCTTTATACGCTACAAGTCCCGGGCTTGTGACCGGTATAGCAGAGTTAAAAGGTGAAAGGTTTATCATAGATTAATCAACTGAATATTCCTGCTCATTTTTTGTTTGGAAGCATGTTGAACAGTTCATATGGACAAAGCTCGAATTCCATATTAAATATCAGTAACATACTCGGGTGTTAATGTTAGACAATACATGTTAAACATAGATTGTTACAAGCATCCTGCTTGCCAATATGTATAAGTATAATCACAAGGTTAAATAGTTATAAAAGGTTATAAACCTTTCACCTTTTAACTCTGCTATACCGGTCACAAGCCCGGGACTTGTAGCGTATAAAGCTCTCTGCTTTTGAGTAGACTTGTCTGGTTTACAAGGAAGAGGAGTGGAAGGTTAATTTCTCAAATGTTGTTAGATAAGGTCGTTATTGTTTGTAGTTGTTGGTTATAGCGCTGTGCTATCATTCTTTTTGTTTAATAACATTCCAAGATAGAATTTGATGCACACAGATATACATACGTCTTGTATTTTCCAATTATTAATGTACAGCAAATTTTTCTACCAATATTTGCTACAAGTCGTAGTGTCAGCAGCAAGATACCAGAGTGGACCGTTCCCCCAAAACGGTTTTAATTTCACAACGAGCAATATGACAAACATATAGGTTGGAGTGAGCCTAAATTAAAATGATCAAATGATAACACATAAAGCTTGGGTAATCTTAAGTTTGAGTTAAGTTTCTCACCTCCAAAATCGGTGAAAATAAAATTGAAGCCAGTTAGTTTTTCCGTTATTTTTTACTCTCTTGTTGATGTTGGTATATAATGCGAGTAGCCCGCTATATATGATCAAAAAATAATATTGAATTATTCAACAATGAATTAAACTACCATTGAAAGCAGGGGCAAAACTAGAACGTTAATTGGAGGGGGGGTATATATTCATATATTCAGCTACCCTGCTGATTTCTTTGTTAGCGATGTTAATTTCAAAAGAAGTCAGCAGGGCAGAGCTGAATGTATGAATATATACCCCCTCCCCAATTAGCGTTCTAGTTTCGTCCCTGATGGAAAGATATGTTTTTGAAAATATCAATTGATTAGTACCACAGTACATTACCCATTGTTTTAAACAAATAGAGAAATATCAGGAATACAACTTGTATTTTATTGCAACATTACCTCAAGACAAAAAATGTATCCACTCCATAAGCTTGATGTAAAAACGTTGGGGCCAATTTTCTCTGAGATTTTAAAAGCCTTTTCATTATCTATAAAATTACACCTGCAGCGTATTTTAAAAGTAAACAATATACATTTAGAGCAAGAGTAAACTGCAAATCGCGTATTTGACTAGCTGTAAATCATACATTCTTCATAAACGTTTATTTATCTTTGTTGTCATTTTCAAACAGTGTTAACATCAAAGATTAAATCAACGCAGATATCTGTCAAAAATGCACAGTTTTATGTGAGCTTTAATTGCAAAAATTGTGTTTTTATTGAACATCGTACAGCATAGACCAAAGACCATACTCACTTCGTACGATGTAGGCTATGACATAGACAATGCCTTCTTTTGAAGAGAATTTGAATTATAAAGAAGTTAATATAAATAAGTTAAATGAACTCATCAACTAACCGAGAGGAAAAGCCGGGGACTTTGGACACGACATGGAAAACAATGATCCAAAATAAAGATAACACTCTGATTCCATGAAGACACGTCAAATCTCCTTTTCCAACAGATGTGTTCATTATCCATTTGACATTTCGTGAAATTGAGAAAGAATTAAGAACTTTATAAACCAAAGAATCTAAATGGAAACATACATCAATCATTCTATATGTTCATGCTACAGTACCTTATACACAAAGTATAATACCTTCGCTCTTTTGAGCCTTCTTGGTATTATTTGGTAGTAATGGAGTCTTCTCGTTCGTCTCTTTATCCATTGAGATATGCAAGCCACGATCACCGACATTTTGGTCGTTGTTGTCACCATATTTTAATGAATATAAAATCTCTGTTATCGTTGCAAAGATGGACAAGCCAACCAAAATTCCACAAAATGTTCTTAGATAGCAAAAAAGCAAATGCTGTAATTGTCTTTATGAGTTGTATCAATATTTTATTGGTTTTTATACACTATTTAAACATCTTATGTAATTAATTCCATTTGAAGTTTCTATCATGAAGAAATGATCAGTTACGATACTTTTGTTACGTACATTGTTAAGATAACAGATGTCGTGTATTCAGGATTCTCAGAACACTGAACTTGGAGATAATTTGTAAACGGTGAAACTGAACTGATGTCTGAAACTAAAGTAGAAAAAACGAAATTTATGCATGAAGGGGTATATATGTGTTTTATTAATGTTTTGAAATTAGTCGATTAACGATGTTTTTGGTATCTTTAAAATGTTATCCAGTGAACAATTATTAGCTAAGTATTTAAAAAAACCTAGTTTTGTTTAAAAAATACAAAAAATACACAAAAAGAAAATGCATTGATGGACTAGTAAACAGTAAATAGTCCAAAATAATAATCTTTCATGAAAATTTTGTTTGATATAATTTTTACTTACCATTATGAAAAAGATATAAGAAATGTTCTTTGATGTCGTTATTTGTACAAGACTTGGGAACACAAACACCCCACTCAAAATGATAAGTCTGAAATGTTTAAATTGAACTAGAAAGTATAATAATGGGTCTAAGCAAAGGGGCAGATGTAGGATTTCTGCTAGAGGCAGGGGCAGGGGCTTTTTCACGTTTTTTACGCCGCCATGTTTTTGCAGTAAGTAAATTCACACATTCAACGTTAAGATTACTCGCACTCGCAGACGCGCTCTTATAACGATATTCGATCGATATTTAATATCTTATCTAAATTACGTTTACTAGAAATGAAATTCAAATATACCACAAACAACATTTAAAGTGCCCCTTTCGGCAGAAATTTTAATAGCGATATTAAATTTAACTGTGATTTTCAACGTAATAGTGAAAAAGTTTTAAGTTTTGACAAATCACTCCATTTTATTACTATTTAAAGTTAGCAGAAATGTTCCTTTTAATGGACCTTGTCCGTCGTTCGAAAAGCCTGGAACGACTAACCTTTATGACGTCATGCAAGGGATTCCTCAATACAAGATATATATACCAACTACCTTGGACGACGTCAGAATTTGTCTAGGCGCAGACTTCATGCGACAACAGATAAGGTCCATTGAAAGACAACTTTAAACCTCCATAACAAGAAGACAATTTGACCACATTGAAAAAATTTTTCCACCGACACGTTAGATATTTCACCAAGTTTTGATACCTCTAATAAACGTTTTGCTGATAGGTACACTTTGATGCCCTTATAAAAAATTTGACCTAAAATATTGGGGTGACTTGCCACCTTGTTCACCCTCCCTCCCCACAAATCAGTCTTAACGTTTCTTGAAAAGAAATTTATTCAACTTTTAGTGAAATAACTTAGACCTAGTTTAAACGTCGAACTTTACATGAAGTGAACGCATTAAAAACAAAAGATAATGAGGAAGTTCGGTTCCTTTTAAGTTTAAGGTTTGAAACAGGCCTTATTCAACATTGTCCACATTCTGGTTGAAAGATCACCTAACAGAAACATGCACTATGTTTAGGCATGAATATTTTCTTAAGAACTTTTATACCACACAAGAACAAAATTAAGTATCCGTAAAATAGGAGTGGATTCATGATAAACCATCTCCAATACTTAGCAATACTCCCATTATTGGGTTTCTTACAATGTCTCGCATGTATAATGGTTCGTAATTAATTATATAGCTAATATGAAAAGCAAGGCAAGATTCCAAATCGTTATATAAATAATGGTGGAATGGTAATTGTCAAACTGTATAAAATTAATTATTAAATGCGATGTACTTGATTGACGAGCGTTTGCCACATCAACAAATTCTCATGAAAACAATAACAATAGACTTAATGAACAATAAATTTTCAAAACTATTAGCATTGATTTATTTTGTTTCTTAAGAAATAAGAGAAATTTTTCATATTTTTAACATCCGGGATGATCAAATAATTAGCGGTTAAAAACGCATGGAAATCCCCGCCAAGCCAACCCTTCTCCTCGTTGGTGTCGTATTTTACTTACACCTCTACAATACGACGAACATGATGTTCTGTTTTCTATATTCTCTTCAGATAGGTTTCACCACATTTTTAATTGATATACTTTAAACAAGAATTGTTTTCTCTTATTTACCTCTGCTTTGTTTTGGTAAAGTGTCATATTCCCAGGAAATATCGTCAAACAGTACCGCGAGTCAGGTAGTTTGTTACATTCATCAAACGACCCATACCACAAAGTATTGCCTCCATAAACTCCACTTTCTCGTCTACCACTAGCATCCACATCTGTTAAAATATAAAAGAACTTATATACAGGGGTGTATAAAAAACTGCAACAATTTGATGAAATATTCCGACGTATAAAATTTGCATAATTTAACAATATTCAGTATTTATAAAATTACTAGCCTGCTTGCAGCTTGAATTTTCGTTAATCACTTTATCCCAGGAGCATAAAAAGTTGCACAGGCAAAGATGTGCAGTGCTCATTGTCAATGGCTGCTTTCCATATTTTTAGAATAGAGTTGTCTATTTTTTAATCAACCTGTTGAGAAGAAAGTAAAATTACTTACATCTGGCATATTGTTCTTGTGTGAGTGCTTCGTACCGTTGTTGACAACTATCCAACACGCGTATGGTAGTGTTTTTATTCCTTTTTAGTCCTTTCAGTTGAGCTGCTGGAGTCAGACTTTCAAAACTAATCAAAAATAAAATGAAAAAGTAATTATTAAATCTCATGATTTTGTACAAATTTGGTTGGACTGGTGGAATCAGAATCACAAGTGTAACTGTGTGAGACTGCACATGACTATTGATTGAAGAAATTTACATAGGTTTCAAACGCCCACGCATAGAGCTTTGCTCTGTTGCCTGTCTTTTTGAGTTGATTAATGAACTTATTAATTTTGAAGTAGAATTTTAAAAATACTGCTTTGTCGATGGCTAATGCCATACCATTGATTTCAAAAATTGCAAAATAAACTAAACTTTTTTGTTAGTTGTCTGCAGTGAATTCAAACAATAATATTTCACCATGGTATTTAGTATTTTCAAAAGTTTTTTTGATTTTTATTTACTTAAGGGTATTATAAGTCTTTATTTTATAATTTTATTTCTTTTGCAATGACAAAAGTGTCAACTCAAGCGATCAGTAATTCATCTAACATGAACTGACGCTTTAAATACCCGGATGAATGGCGTTTTAAAACGAAGTAATGCAATAATAAGGTTTATATGTTTATACCCAATGAAAAGCTCGTGGATCATGGGCTCATAAAGTTCAGCTCTCAATACACGTTTCTCACATATTTTCGATGCAGTCGTCTACTAATTGATCATGTAACCAACTCATGATGACAACACTTAAAATTGTTGCCCGTTATACACGCATGTGACATGTTGCAACAAAAGTGGATTGTTTTTACCATGATTTACATCATTCTAAAATAACATGAAACATTCCTTTGTATCATCATAAAACCAGACTTATCCATCAAATGTTGCGTTCTTTCGACAAGATTTGGCAAGTATTTGACATATTATTGTTAAGATCATTTTACACAAAATGATTGAATGCAAACTAACATAAGAAGTAGCTTACTGCTTTGTAAGTGCGAAAACTTAAAGAACTTATAAAAAATTTGATTCACTTTTTCTTGTCCAATGAGTAACTAAGTTTGAAAGGAAAGGGCAGTTGTCTCCTGGGCTTATGACTTACGCTCTTGAATATCCTGATCACAGTTTTATTAAATGCCTAGCGTTTTTTTAGAAGTTAAAGTATCATTCAAACAAACTTATTCACTTCCAAAAAAAATACTGAAAAAAACAAAAAAGCTTTGCATTTTTAAAAAGCGCAGAGCTATATTCTGCAAAATAACATATCAAAGAAGATAGAATCACGTACGCTCACATAAAAACAAAATAAATGCAATGCTAAACAACACATACAGAGATATATACTAGTTTAAAAGTTTTAATTAATTGGTTTTGGTTGCGTTCACATGAATTGAAAACGTTGTTAATAACCTTAACGTTTTTTAACACAATCAAGCAGTATCAATTGTGAAAATTTAACAAAATGCTTTCCGTAAAATTTTACTTTTGTATTTTCTATGTACGTTTTTGCAATCTTTTCCAGCCCAAACTTTCGATGTTAGAAAACGGCAACTCTACCATAACGGTAATGACAAATGCGATGCAATAAACTAATACCAACGAAGCCAGAGAATATGTTACCTATAGAAATATATACGATCTTTATAAAAAATTCATTATTCAAAACAAATTAATAGTTAACTGAATGCATTGGTCTAAAATATTTAAATATCATAAAAAGTAAATATTTTGATAGATTACGTAATCGATGTAAGATAAAGCAATAAAATTCATTGATAATTTTAATAATAATAACTTACAAAGGTAAACCAAGTAAAATGGATAGGGGTCTGAACGTTGTACTTTAACACTAAAATCACTTCAAAATGCACAAGATAGGCAGCATAATTGATGCGACTCAAAGGAATCCAAAACTTTGCTCCTAAAATGTTTTGAATCCAACCTATAATGCAGTAAATGTAGAAACTACAGCTTTATGAAACAATGAAGTTATTTTTAGACATAAATTGTTGGCATTTTCAATATTTTTCTACAACACAATAAATGCATAATTTTGTCAATATAATCACAAAGAAGCACTTACGTAATTCAGTAGGTTTAGAACCTAGCTATACTCACACTTATTTTTTAAGTGCAATTGCCTTTCCCACCTTCTCACCCCATGGCTATAATTGCTACATAATTTAAACACAGAGTTGTTATAACGTATATGTAAAAAAATCTCCTTCTCACCTGCATAGCCATAGTGACAAGCAAATATGAGCCAAACTATAAACAGACCCCAGATGAACCATCTAAAAGCCCAGAAAAACGCACTTTCGGATACCGTCCATACATGAGGATCTTCTTTTACTGAACTGTATGGAGCATATATATCGGTCAGCGCCAAAGCTATGGTAGATATCCAGAGAAAGACGACTATTTTCTAGAATATAAAAAAGTTTACGATACAAACCATGAGCAAAAAAAGGGTAATGGACAATTCAGCCATATTTTAGCGTCAGCACATTTCTAGTGTAAGTGCTTGCAATGGATTTCATGCAACGGTAGTGAGAAAACAATATTTGCAGTTTAGCTGTTATGAACTCAGTAACATAAGTTCTTGTACAGATACTCAGGTCTTAAAATCCTCGTTACTTTTTTTCCAAAAAGGTATTATTAGCATAGTTATGCAAGAAATTCGATAATTAAAAGACACTAGTACCTACTTCATTAATTATTATTAAATGAAGTTCGACGCGAAATGAAGAATCATGTCAAAAAATTTTAGTCTTGAATTGAATTATAAAGATGAAGTTAGATAAATGACGAGTAGTCTTGATAAATTTGTCTACTATTTTAAAACCGAATTTAATGAAGGTTTTGGAATTTATTTAACAAGAATGATTTTTATCAAACACCAATAAAATGGCATTGCGTGGCTATCAGCAACATTTCTGCTCTTCATTAGGTTATTGGCGTAAAAAAAATACAAAATGTCTCTACCGCGACGATTACGCAAGCAGCAACGAGAAGACTAGAAGTTTTCAAAATTATTTTTATAACCAACAAATTCCTTTTACCAAATTAATTCTGATTTTGTTTGAGCGATATTTCTGAAGATAATATCCAAGGATCATTCCCATCGCATATGGTGGAACACGACAATAAGTTTTAAAGTAAATATCGCCTGCTCTATTTTCAAACTGTAAAATCTGGACGAAAAAAACTGTAAAATAGAATACAAATATCAGAAGGCTTCGAAGTTCCACCAGGCACCAGACAAAGCTTTTTTCTAATTTTCTCTGAAAATTATGTGCACTTTAACAAAAAGAATCATTAGAAACTTTAGAAATTTTAATTCCTTTTATCCCAAGCATGTTAATCAAAAGTTATTCAGTTTAACAATAGTATTGAATCCAGCTCGCTTATATAGTTCTACTGTGCTTAAAATTCTGCTCTGTTGTTAAGAAAAAAATAGATCTTTATAAATAATGCTCTGAACATAGCAGTAAACTGAAAAACGTGGCGATGGAGTACGCCTTTGTTTTGTAATAATATTTTGACTGCATGTAATCTTTGGAGAAATAATGAATGTATAAATGCATGATATAAATACATCTAATATATTGATAAATATATATAATAAAATTGTGATTAGCATGGTGTAATATTAATACTTTTAGAACAACTTACATGTTCATTCTTAACAAGGCATATGATGACATTGGATAAATATCTTCAGTAGCTGCAATGCAAAATGTGGTAATCATGCTACCAAGAATGACAACGCTTGCAGCCATGAAGAGTACGCGAAGACCATATCTTGAAAGGACAAAAATGAAAGCATATTATCATCTATTTGTGATTTGGACTTTGTACAACATCAATGAACGGCAAAGTTGTGACTTTAAATATAAAATGCGTGAAGAAAGAATTTACGAAATAGCAATTTGTTGATATGAGATTGTTTATTGCCGAGATATTACAAATACTGCTTTGAAAAGAACAATTGCCATGGTGAATAGCGAAAAGATAAGTCCAAGAATTTTGTTAGAACTCTTGAAGTACTATTGGACATTCACCATAGCAGTTGAGTTTTTAAGGCAATATTTAGATTTTTCCCATGGTGTAAATTCTTAAATGGGAGTGTTGGTGTAAACTGGGGTTAGGGACAAGACAGGTGTACTACCATGGTTCTAACATCATGATAACGTGATTACTGATAGCACACACATTCTTTAAGCGCCGTGTATATTCATCCGACATCTAGTTTTTGGTTTTCGCGTATATATGTTGCGTATTTTATAAAATTACGTTTCGCCAGGTTTGTCGATGTTTGTTTAGTCTAGTGGTAAGAGCAGAGTGAATGAAGCCTAGTGATACGAGTTAGAAACCCACCCCCGCAAGTCGGATTTTGTCGAATAATTCAATAATTTTGTCGTTCTCAAAATTGACTTAATCTTTCATTCTTTTCAACCAAAACATAAAAATATAACAATAATCTTGGTAAGGGTGAGGTTTATTTAGGTTTTATAAATAGTTATGTCGGATGAATAGCGTTTGAACATTACGTTCCGATGTTGGATGAATATCCACGACGTTCTTTAAATCATACATTTCCATTAGATATATTAAAATGATTGTTTTGTGTGAAACTAGCTACCTGTATCCAATAAGAAGAAAGATTGGCGATATGAAATAAAGCTGCATATCAGCAGACAACTGCCAGCTTGGACCAAGACACAACTGAAAAAAAAAACATACCCGCTCAATTTTTGATCCCTACACCATTGTCTAAAAATCTTCTTTTTTTTTCTTCATGCAGTTAAAAGAAAATTTCGGAACATCATCGATCATTAATTATTGTTTTAGAAATATTTTGTTTACACATTAATGAACACAGAATCATGGCCGTATTGAATACAATAAAGTGACCTGACTATGCCATTGAATACGATCCTTGTGGAAGCCAAAGCAATTTTACAATGTAAATCTGCTTGTGTGAATGGCGTGTTAACGTCAGTTTGTTAAGAAATATTCAAATACTTCATGTTGCACTATGCAGCTACACATACGTCTTCTATTTTCCAATTATTAATGTACAGCAAATTTTTCCACCAATATTTGCTACAAGTCGAAGTATCAGCTTGAAGATACCAGAGTGGACCGTTCCCACAAAATGGTCTAAATTTCACAACGAGCAATATGACAAACATATAGGTTGGAGTGAGCCTAAATGAAAATGATCAAATGATAACCTTTAAAGCTTGATTAATCTTAAGTTTCAGTTAAGTTTCTCACCTCCAAAATCGATGAAAATAAAATTGAAGCCAATTAGTTTTTCCGTTATTTTTTACTCTTTTGTTAATGTTGTTGTATAATGCGAGTAGCCCGCTATGTATGATCAAAAAATAATATTGATTTATTCAACGATGACACTACCATTGAAAGATATGTTTTTTGAAAATATCAATTGATTGGCACCAAAATACATTACCCATTGTTTCAAACAAACAGAGAAATATCGTAAATACAACTTTAATTTTTTTTCAACATTACCTCAAGACAAAAAATGTATCCACTCCATAGGCTTGGTGCAAAAACATTGGGGCCAATTTTCTCTGAGATTTTAAAAAGCCTTTGTCATTGTCTATAAAAATAGAGCCAACTTAATGTGCAACTGAGCGTACTTTAAAAGTAGCTATATTTAGAACAAGAAAAAACTGCAAATTGCGTATTTCATAAGCTGTAAATTTTATATTCCTCATAAACATGGTTTATAAAGATGTAAAAACAAACAACAGAACGTTTAATTATCTTTGTTTTCATTTTCTGACAGTGTCGCCATCAAAATCAAATCCAAACAGACATCTGTCAAAAAGTACACGTTTTTTTTGTGCGAGTCCCCGAAAACAAAAAAGTTGAGTTTTTATCGAAGGTCGTAGAGCCTAGATTAAAGACCATCATCACTTCTTACAATAAAGGCTATGACATATTATAAAGAAATTAATAAATAAGTTAAATCAACCCATCAACAAACCCAGAGGAAAAAACACAGGAAGATTGTTGACATGAATTAAAATGATCCAAAATAAAGATAAAACTCTGATTCCATGAAGACACGTCAAATCTCCTTTCCTAACAGATGTGTTCATTATCCATTTGACATTTCGAGAAATTGAGAAAGAATTAAGAACTTTATAAACCAAAGAATCTAAACGGAACATACATCAATCAGTATATATGTTCATGCTATACAGTACCTTATACACAAAGTACAATACCTTCGCTCTTTTGAGTCTTCTTGGTATCATTTGGTAGTAATGGAGTCTTCTCGTTCGTCTCTTTATCCATTGAGATATGCAAGCCACGATCACCGACATTTTGGTCGTCGTGGTCACCATGTTTTAATGAATACAAAAGCTCTGTTATCGTTGCAAAGATGGACAAGCCAACCAAAATTCCACAAAATATTCTTAGAGAGGAAAAAAAAAGCTTTATCTTTCTGAGTTGTATCCATATTTTATTGGTTTTTATACACTATTTAAACATCCTATGTAATTTCTTCCATTTGAAGTTTCAATCATGAAAAAATGATCAGTTACGACACTTTTGTTACGTACATTGTTAAGATAACAGATGTCGTGTATTCAGGATTCTCAGAACACTGAACTTGGAGATAAGTTGTAAACGGTGAAACTGAACTGATGTCTGAAACTAAAGTAGAAAAAAAAATCATTTATGCATGAGGGGGTATATATGTGTTTTATTAATGTTTTGAAATTAGTTGATTAACGATGTTCTTGGTATCTTTTAAATGTTATCCAGTGAACAGTCATTAGCTAAGTATTAAAAAAAACATAATTTTGTTTCAAAAAACACAAAAAGAACATGCATGGATGGAATAGCAAACAGTAAATATTCCAAAATAATAAACTTTCATAAAAATTTGGTTAGATATAATTTTTACTTACCATTATGAAAAAGATATAAGAAATGTTCTTTGATGTCGTTATTTGTACAAGACTTAGGAACACAAACACCCCACTCAAAATGATAAGTCTGAAAAGTTTAAATTGAACTAGAAAGTATAATAATGGGTCTAAACAAAGGGGCAGATGTAGGATTTCTGTTAGGGGCGGGGGAGGAATACTGAGCGATTTCATTTGGAGAGGTTTCAGACAACACTAATCAATTTTGTCACAAATTTAAGCTTTAGAAAAAGGCCAATAGGTTTAATAATTTTTCTACTATAATGCTTCTCAGAATGTTATCTTAACAAAACTGTCTATTTTGGTCTGTTTACGTTTCATCTCAAAACTTATCAATTTATGGTTATTAGCTATTAAAATTGCCTTTTTCACGTTTTTATGCCGTTATGTTTTTGCAGTAAGTAAATTCACACATTCAACGTTAAGATTACTTGCACTCGCAGACGCGCTCTTATAACGATATTCGATCGATATTTAATATCTTATCTAAATTATATTTGCTAGAAATGCAAATTCAAATATACCACAAAAAACATTTAAAGTGCCCCTTTCAGCAGAAATTTTTAATAGCGACATTAAATTTAACTGTGATTTTCGACGTATTAGTGAAAAAAGTTTTTCAGTTTGTCAAATCATTCCATTTTTATTGCTATTTAAAGTTAGCAAAATGTTTATCCGTCGTTCAAAAGCCTGGAACGACTTATCCGTCATGTTCCTCAATACAAGATATATATACCAACTACCTTGGATGACGTCAGAATTTAGACCAGACTTCATGCGACAACGGACAAGGTCCATTGAAAGGCAAATTTAAACCTCCATAACAAGAAGACAATTTGACCACATTGAAAAAATTTTTCCACCGAAACGTTAGATATTTCACCAAGTTTTGATATCACTAATAAACGTTTTTGCCGATAGGGACACTTTAATGGTCTTATAAAAATTTTGACCTAAGATGATGAGGTGACTAGCCACCTTCTCCACCCTTCCGCCCCCCAGCAAATCCGTCTCAACATCTCTTGAAAAGCAATTTATTCAACTTTTAGTGAAATAACTTAGACCTAGTTTAAACGTCGAACTTTACATGAAGTGAACGCATTAAAAACAAAAGATAATGAGGAAGTTCATCTTATTTTTATTTGTCGTTAGTAATTTCGGTGCATGTAAAGTTCGACGTTTGAAACAGGACTTATTCAATATTGTCCCCATTCTGGTTGAAAGATCACCTAACAGAAACATGCACTATGTTTAGGCATGAATATTTTTTCAAGAACTTTTATACCACACAAGAACAAAATTGAGTATCCGTAAAATAAGAGTAGATTCATGATAAACCATCTCCAATACTTAGCAATACTACAATTATTGGGTTTCTTACAATGTCTAGCATATATAATGTGGTTCGTAATTAATTATATAGCTAATATTAAAAGTTCTGCAAGATTTCAAATCGTTATATAAATAATGGTGGAATGGTAATTGTCAAATTGTATGAAATTAATTATTAAATGCGATGTACTTGATTGACGAGCGTTTGCCACATCAACAAATTCTCATGAAGACAATAACAATAGTCTTAATGAATAATAAATTTTCAAAACTATTAGCATTGATTTATTTTGTTCCTTAAGAAATAAGAGAAATTTTTCGTATTCTTAACATCCAGGATGATCACATAATTACGGTTGAAAACGCATGAAAATCACTGCCAAGCCAACCCTTCTCCTCGTTGGTGTCATATTTTGCTTACACCTCTACAATACGACGAACATGTTGTTCTGTTTTCTATATTCGGTTCAGATAGGTTTGACCACATTTTTAATTGACATATTTTTAAAAGGAATTGTTTTCTCTTATTTACCTCTGCTTTGTTTTGGTAAAGTGTCATATTCCCAGGAAATATCGTCAAACAGTACCGCGAGTCAGGTAGTTTGTTACATTCATCAAACGACCCATACCACAAAGTATTGCCTCCATAAACTCCACTTTCTCGTCTACCACTAGCATCCACGTCTGTTCAATTATAAAAGAACAAGGACAAGGAATAAGAATGTATTTTAAAATCACTAGCCTGTTCGCATCTTGAATTTTTCGCTCATCACTTTATCTCAGGAGCATAAAATATTGCACAGGCAAAGATGTGCAGTGCTCATTCTCAATAGCTGCTTTCCAAATTTTAGAATAGAGTTGTCTATTTTTTAATCAACCTGTTGAGAAGAAAGTAAAATTACTTACATCTGACATATTGTTCTTGTGTGAGTGCTTCGTACCGTTGTTGACAACTATCCAACACGCGTATGGTAGTGTTTTTATTCCTTTTTAGTCCTTTCAGTTGAGCTGCTGATGTCAGACTATCAAAACTAATCAAAAATAAAATGAAAAAGTAATTAATAAATCTCATGGTTTTGTACAAATTTGGACTGGTGGAATGTAAAATTTACAAGTGTGACTGTGTGAGACTGTACATGACTGTTGATTGAAGAAATTTACATACGGTTTCAAACGCCCACGCATAAAGCTTTGCTTTGAAAATTTCCTGCTCTTTGGGGCTAATTGTTCAGAGAACTGTCTCCCTGTAATTGCTTATAGCAATCATTCTACAAAAAAAAACAATTATTTAACAACTTCTTTTTGATTTGGCTTTTGCTTTTTTTGTGATTTGTTACAAAGCAAAGTAATTTTATGTGGAAGCTGAATGAAGACAAAGCTATTAAAATAAGTATATTGTTTGGATAAGTTGTAATATTGTAATTGTATATATACAATATAACAAAACTATTTAGTCTTTTATCACATTAGGACAAGTATAATCTGTGCAACTTAATCTTACCAGAATATGTACATGTTAGAGCATACAAGCTTTACATGTGCATGCAATCAAATTTGCACATTATACTTATCTGAATTTTACATTGACTGATATTTGTGTAGTTTAACTAATTTTTTAAACCATTGTCAAATTTAATAAAAACTCGAAAAAGCCAGAGGGTGGTGTCCTCGTTAAAAAATTTACTGTCTAGTATTCGCAGGCAATGTGCTAGTTTGCTCTATTTTTGTTTTTAAAGCAAGCAATGTAACCATTATATAATTTCTTAGAAAGCTATTTTATTGATGCAAATGCATAAAAATCAAGAACATATTTTTAATCAATGAACTAAAATATATTAGGAACGATAACTCTTATAGTCCAATGATTACATGAAGCCAAAATACATCTAAAATCTGTCAAACCTCCCTGAAAGAAAGCGTGTTTTGGCGGCAGATGTTTGTTTTGCTTTTTTGCAGGAGAAAAACGTGAAAAAATGATTTTTTGTCGTTTTTGACACATTTGTTGCTTTAAAATTGCATCTAAAAGAATTACTATATGCCACAGCAAGATATTTTCGAGTAGCAACATATTCAGAACGATTGATCAACAAACTAATACATGTGTACAAGACGGAACTGAATGTTAAAATGTATGAATAGCTACTATATAAAACATAGTTAAATATTTACAGCCTTTAATACAACTTTTTCTTGTATGATTCATGTCCTTATACGTTTTAATATTGCTCCAGTGATATATTTTGATTTCAATATTGTTTTTGTATCAACTACCAAGCTTGTCGGTATGCATTGTTTGCATTTTCCTTTTCTCTCGTTATTTGCTTTATATAGACGAAAATTGTGTGTCAAACACGTTTTATATCATTCATATGTTTTAACATTAACTTCAGTCTTACAGAATATTATCAGTATGTCGTTAGATCGTCCGCGATTCTTCACGACTATATTTGTCTTCAAAAATATCTAGCTGTGGCTGCCAAAATCAGGGTACCAAACAAAAGGAGTTATCGCTCCACATATATTTTAGCTCAATTGTGAGACCAGTTTTAAAAATTCAATTATGCTAAACAGCAGTGTAAATTATGCTAATTTTACATATAATATGCTAAAACGGTTATCTTTTTTTTATGCAAATAGTTTTCTTTACACAGTATAACACAAAGTGCTTCAAACATTACATATCATTTTAAACTTGAAAATATAATATTAAGTTTTGAGCTTAAGGTAAATCATTTTACTTATGAACAACTGTCCCTTGTCAGTTTCATTGACTTACAGCTGAAAACTAGTGTATTTTTTCAACACTTCTCACTTGGCAAAATAAGGTGCACACAACTGCACTAAGATCTTGCTCAACTTGAATGATTTTTTCTACCTTTCTACTTTTAACCAGTTTCTTGGTAAAGTTGACTTGAGAGAAAATCCCTTCACAGTCAACAGTAATCATTGGTAAATATAACAGGTTTTTAGCAATGTCGGAGATAAAGCCATATTTATGGTCCCTTTTTTTCCATATGCTTAATCGTTCCAACCTCACCACAGAACTGTTTACTTGTTTCCCATGAGGTTGCAACCTGCTGAACATCTTGATCAAAGAGCATGATTCGAAATTAAGGATCTGCAAGTTCTTTTTCTTCATAACTACACTATTCAAAATAATCCAAAAGGAAACTCATATCGTAGCATGTAACTTTTCTTTATCATTGAATCATTGTTATCTTTATTTAGTACATGGGCATGATGTAGCAGGGTATTATTAAAGGGGAGTCACGTCTTTAGTGGACAATAAAGATCAACATAAAATGACTGTCAGGGAAAGTAAAAATGACGAGCTTAATCAGGAAGAATGTGTAAATCTTTCAGATACAGCACAGTATTTTGTCCAATGTTCATTTTAGAAACAGGCAAAAAATTTAAGTCCAATTTTTTATCTATGTCTGCAACTTGTAGCTGCCTCCTGTATGCTAAATTCATGTAATAAGTACGCAAGGTGCAAAGGAGCTCGACAGCTTCTATCTAAAAGCGATTCAAGACTGCATACTGTTGTTGAAAAAGTTCATCAAATCTGTTTGTTAATGGCAGAAAAAAACGAAGAAACAGTAAATGATGCCTTACAAATTTTATTATTTAAGCTGTTGCAACATCTTTAAGGCATTATACGACCAACTAAGTACTGAGATTAGAAAAACAATTGAGGTTTATTTTTTATTATGTTTATTCTTTGATGATGGCTGTACATTCCATTGGACCAGTATTCTTTATTCTTTTCACACATGAATGAAGGTACTGCCTCCTAATGTCATACCATTTCAGCAGTTTATGCTGTTAACTTTTTGGGAAATCTAAAAAACAGCAAACTCTTTAATTGTTTTTGAGCTTTTGGAATAGATAGTTGTGTAAATTCTTTACTAGCTCTTCAATTTGCCGTGTTAAAACTTTACAAACATAACGAAAGGCTATGGAAGTGCTATGGCAAACACATTTCACAGTTACACAAATTGGATTTGAATCTTGAATCTTGTTCCCACAAACATCACACATTGACTGTTGTTCCCACAAAACATCACATGATTCTATCAGCAGAAAATCCAATAGATTTACCTAGTTTCAGCTTATTTTTTTCAAATTCTTTAGAGATAACAATACAAACATGCTTTCTGCAGACCACTAGGCAGTATGTACAAGGAATATAAACTTACTTTTGACCTTAAGGTTTAATCACTGTAATATTTTAACACTAGATGGAGTGACTTGGATGTAGACACATCTGTTAATTTGTTTATCAGAAAAGAATACTTTCCAATACGGCGTGCCCAAGCTTCTTCAAAAATGGTGTTCTTAAATACTGGAGCCATAAGTTGTAAAAAATCGCAGCTGAATTAGTTCTCTTTAAGTTGATACCTTTGCAACTTTTGAGTGAAGAAAGCAACGCGGTAGTATCTCGCTGATATGATCTATTGACAATATTATCAAAAAAGTAAACAAACGAATCTATTTTCTAATTCAACTAAAGAGAGCTAAGGTATCCCCTAAAGATCTCTCTCTCTTTTATATAACATGTATAAGATCGGTTATGGATTATGGAGTAGTTAGTTTTTACAATTCCTTACCAAACTACTTAAAAAACGAATTCCAACGTGTAGAAAAAAGAGTGATATCAATAATATTTCCTTATAATAGTTATAAAATTGGGCTAAAAAAGCTAGATATGTCACCAATAGAATTACACCATGAAGATTTATGGCGCGCCAAGATGGACAATATTACCAAAATCGAAAATATTTACAACGAAACACATTATCGTATGTCGAAAATAATATACTGGCAACTTTTTCAATATTTGTAAAACGAAACGCAAAAATATAAAAGAAAACAAAAATTCGTTTACCATAATTTATATATATACAACGAAATTTATTTTTCAAGTTATGAAAATTATTTTTATAAAACGAAACTCATTTATATAAAACGAAATTGACATTCATAAAACGACATTTTCTTCGAACAAACGACATTTTTTACCGCTTTTTTGCGGCATTATTTTGTCGCCTGCAAAGAACGATCCACTACAAAATTTTGAGGATGTCTTCGCGAAGGAACTTACATAACTTGACAAACCTTGTTGCAGCAATCACTCAGCTCTCTGAAAGTGATTGCTCCAACAATTGAAAGAACTTTGAAGGAGATAACGATGCTAACGCTAGCAATATTGAAAGTACGATACGCACTCTGTTCCCTTCTGCAAATGGTCGTTCATCCACAACCACAACAGTCGGAGGAGCAGCGACTGCAGCAGCTAATACTTCAATGCACCACACGTCTCCACTGTTCAACCCAAGTGTAAATTATGGAGGAGGAAAAAAGTCAAGAAGGTCCAAGACTAGTAAAAATAACAACGGCAAGAAGCTGAAATTGAACGAAGCTCGAACAACTCTAAAAGATGTTGTCTTGATACCATATTCAAGGCAAACTAAAGTACCACGTGGACGGGAAAGAGAAGCAATTTTTTCCGCAGGATTTTTGTCTACGTTTGAGTTAGATCCTTCCATGGATGAGGAAGGAATAAGAACAGCATTAGAAAGCAAGTTTGCAGTGAAGTTTTCGAATACAAGAAAGTCTCCCAAATTCGAATTTATGAGAGCTGTACACAGCAGGCTGATTTCCCTTGAAACTGACGGCTGTCCTAAATGTGACGGTAGGCTTTTAAAGCATGTGTCTGGTCAAGGACCAATATATATTCGGGCCAAGGAAGACATTAGTGTGTCAGTGCATAGTTTAGTCAAAATAGAGGACAACAGCAGTGATGACATTAGCTCTGAAGATGATGACATTATTTTGAAAACAACAATGTTCGAGGACCAATTCACAAGTTCATTTTCATCACAAAATTTGGGAGACAATCTAAAATCAACATTGCCTCCCTTGTTGCACTCTTCTTCCTTGCATGATATCTCTCATGAAACGTCAAGTGTGGCTGCCACATGTACAACCTCATCAATTTTGTGTCCAACTTGTAATATGAAATTCAAAATTGATGAAATTGAAGAGCATGCTGATTTGTGTTGTTAAAGTGCTTGGAAAGGCACTAACAGCACTATGTCAGTATAATGTCTCAATTTAAATGTAAAGATGACCAGAATCAACCTAAAGATGACCAGGATCACCATTTGTCGCCTGATGCAGCAGCTGAGAATACTGAACTTTTACAATTTTCATTGCTGGATGAGTTGAAAAGACTAGAAAAAAATTTGGATCAAACCACAAATCGTGTGAATGTGCAAAGGATCAGTATTTTGAACAACTATTTGGATAGGAGGATAAAATGTTCTTGGTTTTCTCCAAAAAACAAAATTAAGGTCGTCTTCATAGGTGAACCTGCCGTTGACGATGGAGGTCCAAGGCGTGAATTTTTTTCTGGTAATGTGACAGAAAAAATAAATTTAGTGCATGTTTTACCCTTTAATGTCCTGTAACATGATGATATTTTTTAGAAATACTACTTTTGTTGAGAATGCGGCTGTTTGATGAAAGAGGAATGCCTTTGGAAAGCACCATGGCATTAACACAGAACTTGTACAAATATGCAGGGGAAATTATGGTCATGTCAATTCTACAAGGTGGACCAGCTCCAAACTTCTTGTCACCTGTTATTTATGATCTAATTGCAAAAGGACTCTCAGCTGCTAATTTTTGTCTTGATATGATAGAAAATGAGCACTTCAAAAGAATTGGCATGAAGGTATGCTACTTATGAGAGAAATCTATTTTTCTTCTGTTCTTGATCAGTGGTGATTGTTCTTTAGATTGACAATGCAAACACAGACAGTCAACTACAATCATTATTGACAACAGATGATGCTCTTGATGTTCTTGAAAAAAGTTGGGTACAGAGGAGTTCCCACACAAGAGACATTGTCAACAAAGCAAAGATTAGTTAGGTAAATGTAAAATTTGAATTTTTTTCCATAAGTTAGTTTTTTTGTAAAATATGTTGTGGATACATAAAATTTTATATGTTATACACACATAAAATTCTGCAAACTCAGGATTATGATTTTAATTACAGTGGAAAAGGGTTCTAATTTTGTTTTTCTAATTGATAAATAGGTCCATAATAATCAAATCATGTATTGAGCCAAAGCTGGCCATGGTCAGGCAATTGGAGGAAGGTCTTGTGCTCTGTGGATTGCTTGAAAGAATACGCAATTGTTCTTCTGTTTTTAAACCACTGTTTGTGGAAGATGACACCTTTGTAATAACTCCAGACAAATTGCTAGACAATTTCAATGTTCATTTTAGTGAAAGGCAACATGAAAAAATCAAAGAATCCACTACATATAAGCACTTTTGTGACTTCATAGAAGAGCTTGGATATGCTGGTAAAGTATTAAGAATTGTAATAACTTTTTGTCTTTCAAACACCAAACTGTTTTGTTTTTTCTTGTAGGTATAAAAGAGCACAATTTAGAATTAAAGCATCTTTTCCGTTTTATGACTGGATCATACACAATGCCCCCCCTAGGATTTTCGGAAACTATGAAAGTGGAATTTGTTCACGGTTGTCCTGAAAATTGCAAGTGCTGCCCAACAGCATCAACATGCCAACTTTCAATAAATATTCCAGTGCATGCTAATACAGGGGAAATGATGAGAGAGCTGATGACATCAGCTTTGCTTGAGGGATATGGATTTGGAAAAATATGAGAACAATGCCAGTCAGTCCTGTTTCATCCAAAAGGAAATGTTTTTAAAGATTTTTTCACATACTCTCTGAACTGTTTTGTTGCAATTTGCATCTGCATAATCTATTCCAATGATGAAACTAATATACCAAGGTTTAATTTTGAAAATAATTTGAAGGGCTTTGGGTTGTGTATTCTTTGCTTATAAGTTATGTATTCTTTCCAATAAGTTGCATGTATTTACATATAGTTGTATCCCATGTTCACTGTCCTCTTCCAAAGGATTCACAGATGTGGATATAAGAGTGACTTGGTCCTGTGTTAAAACAAGACTTGATTCAGGGATTTCAACATGATTAACTGTTTGTATTAGTGGCAAAGGGCCGTCATCATCTAGTCCATAAGTATCAATGTGTAATGTAGTAGGATCAGCAACTTCACGTAAAGTTTCGTGATTGGCATTTGCAAACTTGTAAAAACCTTCAACCCATAACTGATATGGAGTCATGTTGTGTCCAGTGGATAATGGGTGATTGTTCCATTGGGTAACAAAAAGAACTAAAGCTTGATTAATTCTTGGCTTGAACACATAATGAAGTGCAAATAGATGTAGCTAATTCAATGGATCAAGCAGATCAACTGACTCAAGATAATGGAAGAGGTTACTAAAATAACTGGTCACATATGCTAACATCTTTCCACAATCTTTCAATTCTTTGATTGTGCACAGATAACCCTGTAATAAATGGTTTAGCATCAATTCCAAAATGATAGAGCATCCAACGAGCCACATCAATATTTTCTGTGCCATGATCACTTCGACTCACGAGGGCACTTGTATGTTTGAATACTTTGCAAAAATAACTGAAAGACAGTACTGCTTGTATTGTTTGTTGAACATCTTAAGTAGACAATGGTTCTGGAGAAGCCATCAACACCTCCATGAATCACAAATCTCCAGCGAATCAATTTGTGATTGCCATCAATATGCCTATGTTGAGAATGCATAAATAAATATCAAGGCAAAATAATATGTTTCTTGAATATATTTAATTTTGTACATCATTTTCTGGATTGAAAAGGCTTTTTGTTATGTTAGTATTGATGTCTTGTTAATAGTGATATCTTGAGACCTACTGTATTCTAATTTTTATAAAATAGCTCCACACCAATACTCAACACTATATTACCTACCATAGCGCATTTGGAATTGTAACATTATATGTTCGACGATGGATTGATGTTTTTTTCCTTAGTTCTCTGCTCACAGGATCAACTCGTCTGATTGAATTTCGGATCTTTTCTCTCTGCACCTTTAAACCAAATCCTTTCAGTGCACCAAATACCATTCTCTCTCCTGAATTTACGGAACGATTTAAGATATGTTCTATATTTGCGTCAAGGTCTTCATCACTTATGTCGCTATAGCTCACAGCCTGCCCAATTTCCATGCGAAGTTCTTTTCTTCGTCGCCGTATTGTTCTTTCCGAAACATTAAGCATCGCTGCAATTTTCTTCCAAGAAAAGTGCAAGCTACGCAGTCCATCAATTTGTTCTTTTGTAATAAAAAATCGTGGCCTTCCAGCAGAGCTCATTTCGTTCTCTTCCATTGGGCATACGTATTGATCGTTTTCGTTGCCGTTATGAATGCTAAACTGAGTTGAAAGTTTTGCAATTTCATTTTGAAAAAGCATAATAACATCTGCGAAAAAATGCACGATTTCATTAGTCCATCCCTGAAGGCGAGATAGTAGGCATAGGCCACATAAGTATTCTTCAGAACGAGCCATTATCACCTCAGCCGTAACATTATCTTTCGTAAAAATGTTTCGATGTAGTTCATCAAATAAACTAAAGCCTCTCGTTAAGAATTCCACAACATCCCGATATTCTGCCATATTTAATATGGAAGGGACAGGCAGACAGAAAGGATGGAAGGAACAAGATAAGAGTCATCGACAGTGTTCACGGAACGCGAAATAAAACGCCGTTTTTTCTTTGATGTCAGTGACAGGGCGCGGTAAAAAATGTCGTTTGTTCGAAGAAAATGTCGTTTTATGAATGTCAATTTCGTTTTATATAAATGAGTTTCGTTTTATAAAAATAATTTTCATAACTTGAAAAATAAATTTCGTTGTGTATATATAAATTATGGTAAACGAATTTTTGTTTTCTTTTATATTTTTGCGTTTCGTTTTACAAATATTGAAAAAGTTGCCAGTATATTATTTTCGACATACGATAATGTGTTTCGTTATAAATATTTTCGATTTTGGTAATATTGTCCATCTCGGCGCGCCATAAAGATTTATGTAAACATTATTTCCAGACAATTGAAACAAATGAACGCCATAAATTAAGAAATTTACTGCCAAACAAAAATAACTGTAAATATAGCCTGAGAAGTAAACATAAATATATAGTTCCGCTTGCTCGCACCAACAGAGCGAAGAACTCGTTCATCCTGTCCTTGTGTACATAAAGTTACACAAAAGTGGCCAGGTATGGAGTTTTCTTTGTCTCTGTTGGTGTTAGCGAGTACCATTTTTAGATACTTATTTTTAGATTTTTAGATACTTATTTTTAGATACTTATTTGTTATTATAATTTTACTAATTTAGATATTTGCAATTCAGCCGCAAGGCTGCAATTAATATTTTAATAAACTACCTACCTACCTACCTATTGCCAAAAATGACAAATTGTTGTTTAAACCTACATGTGTTCTGCCTCATTTAAATTGATTTAGCTTTGTCAATGTCATCCTTCATTCGACCCCTTAGTCTATGAGGAGATTTACAACAGTTCGGTGTTGTCAAGCAAAGCATTGTTAATATTACCTGATCATTATTTTTAAAGGCTTCATTCTGAGTTGAGCTAACTCATACATTTCCTTACCTTGAATGAATTAAGAATCTATACTTTGAGTTACAGTACATGTAACTTTCTTAGTTATGTTATACCATTCAATACGTGGTTCATTCTTAGAAACACTCACTGACATTTTTACATTATTATCAGTATAATACAGAAATTTACCATGTTAATATCGTTCCTTAAAGTCTGCTAAGAAACAATACAGTTTTAAAAAAAAGTTTGCTGGCTAGTTTATCTTATGATTCATTCATGCACATACCACAAAATTTTTAAAGATTGCTGGAATTGCATTGCATTTCAGCTGCAATTTGTCTCCAACCATTCTTTTAACACTTTCCGCAAAATGGTTTGAGTGCACCTTTCTTGACGCACCTGGGATGAACTCAGCAGCAGCAGGTAGATTCTGATTGAAACGTCGCACATTTGCAATCATATGTGGCGAACAAAGAGCTTGTTCGTTGATATATTTATAGAAGGCTTCCCTCTTAACAGCCGATAACTAGCAACCACATTTGACTCGTTATAATGAATTTTCTTGTTTTTATCTTGATTTTCTTCATAAAATGCTCCGCAAATAACAAACATATGCTTATTTTTTCCTCATTCTTTCTGCGTGGGGAGTGAGAAAAAGTGAAATTTTCTTCAAGGTGCAATTTTAGTATATCTCGGCCCAAATAGGTTGATTCCTCTATCATTTGGCTTCGATCGACAGTCAAAAACTGTGATTAAGATAGCTGATTTGCAGTTGACAAAACATGGCGTTATTTAATGATGGTATAATGTGGTGAAAGACTTCTAATAGAAGAAGGTGTTATCTATACACACTCACGCTTTTAGAATTTACAATTATTAGATGAGGTTGAGCATAATATAAGGAATTATTCAGACTGATGTCAATGTTATTTGCTGAAGCAAAAACTATGCAAAAACCAAATTCAAAGAGTTTTTTAGTAAAGCAAAATATATGTAGGAGATTTCTAATTATTTTTTCCCAAAACCATAAATTTTTCATGCTTTGACAAACAAATAAATAGTGAATACTCGATAATAACTCTCCTGACTGACATTGTAAGGCCTGTGTTAAACTTTGAATTTTAAGCGTACGAAATGCATTAAGACAAAAGAAAAATTAGATGAAATTCCTCGTTATCTTCTGTTTTAAATAAAGTTGGCACATGCAAAATTCAACGTTTGAAACGGGCCAACCCTTCCCAGTTTTTTACATCATTACTATTTGATTAAAAACAGTTTAATTTGTAAAACACATCTAAGTCTCGTAGAAGATCTAGCTATTATAATTTTTTGTGTACATTTTTTCATAATAACTTATGTCAAGGGCAAGTAATTTTCATAATTTTGTAGCTGATAAAAGAGTGAAAATTGTTTGTAGACTAACTCAATATTTCCCAGTGGCAATCAACAATGAGTCAACATTATTTATTAAGGACGTTAATTGGATCATTTACCGGAATAAGCCTTTGCCATTATTTATAATATATATTAACAATTGAAGTAATTATGACACAAATAGTGCTGTCAAAATATATATAATTGAAAAATATGTTACAAAAGGTCGTAGGAAACTAGATAAATTGAGCTATCAAGTCTCTCGAATCCTTAAATTAAACTTATTACAATAAGCAATTATTGGATGAGGTTGAGCATAATATTAAGAATTATTAAGAAATATTAAGAATTATTCAGACCGATGTCATTGTTTTCTGCCAAAGCAAAGCTGAGGCGGATAACAATTACCGAGGTCTGAATGAAAAATTTGTTTTCCTTTTTCAATTGGAGTTATACATGTTAACTGTTATGTTATCACCAATAAAGCTACTTCCACCAATGATAGAAATTTCCCTGCGATGTGGATGTTCACCTAGAAATTAAACATCGATGTTAACAGGTAATACAATTAAACCTGTAGCAATAAAACTTGGAGTAATCTTTTTCATTTGAATAATGGCAGTAGCAGTACTAAATGCTATTGCATTTGCAGTCATTTTTTAAGAGACTTTTGTATCTAATTGTAATTAATAGAGACTTTGGTATCCCTTTGTAAAACATTGTCTTTCAGATAAGCATATCCTTTTCTCAGAAATATTTGATAAGCTCAATAAGTCACATCCAACTGATACAATTATAATGAGAATCAGAATTTAAATTTATTTAAATTAAGTTCAACGCGGCAGCAAATTGCTGAATTATGTAATTAGCTACTGCAAACAGCGAGAAAAGTTATGACGAAGCCCGTTATAAAATGAAAATGAAATCTGGGGTGCTTGCACGAAAATTTGATAGCGTTACCCATTGGATAGTAAAACCTTCAAAATTGTAACAAAGATGTTTATAATTTCGTTACGACAAAAAATATTGTAATCTTGAAGCAATATTTTATTTCAGGGATTGCTCAGTTGAAACCTTACATTTTTCATTTTTAAGAAGTTTTTTAGCCGTAGAAGAAATTTGCTATCCTATGGATAGCGCTACCTTAGCTTCCTGCAACCGTTTCCTGTGTATGAATTTATTTAGTGAATTTACGCGCAGATGATAGAAATTATGGAACTTATTGAGAAGAGAATGTTTAGTTATAAGGCCCCCAAGTGCAGGAGTCAACATTGCACTATGGTGATAGCCGGGAGGGCACATTGTTATACACGTTGTATATTATATATTTACGCTCTGCTCTCGGGCATCGAGCACTGTTTTATACAGAGAATCGTCACATATAAACTTCCTATATTTATATTTATTTATGTTTTATATTTTAGCTACATTTATATTTATTTTTTCATATTTTCTATAAGTGTTATCATTAGCACAATAGTCTAAAATTAAAGTAACACATTATATCTGTTCTAGAGCATTAAAGAGCAAATAAACTTTACGCGATTTTTACACTATCCAATCTACGTGGTGTCAAAGGCCATATTGCAAAATTTTGTTGTAATTGGACAAAATTTTGAGTTTTAAAGTCCGTCAAAGTTGCGAAAATATACCCTTTTAAGTGACTGGGCCTGCGCGTCCAGCTGACGTCATGTAAGGTCTGAATTGTCGTAAAGATACATGAAAAGTATAGCAAGCTGAAGTCCCGTCCACACGTGCAGGGATATTTTCGTATCCGCAACAAAAAAGTTGCGGATAAGCCTTTCGTCCACACGCATCCGAATATTTGAGCAGGTTATCCGGAAACTTATGAATCCGCTCTCTACGGTGAAAATTTTCGTATCCGCAAACAATTTGGATGCGTGGGGATGGTAAATTCGGATATTTTTGATCAAGATTCCCCAGCAACTATATAGCCCGTTTAAAATGTCGTTATATTTGCTTCGAATCGATTCCAATTGACTTTCTACATAGTGTTGGATGTTTTGAATTTTAGTATGACTTTCAGTAAGAGTTAACCTCATCATCAGTAGAAATGAAGGAGTCCGTCTTGCTCTTCTCATTTTATTTCAATTTCTGTCCCAATTATGACATATAGATTCCAACAAAGCCGAACAAAGTTTGCACACATTAACCGAATTCAAAATTGCTAACCAATTTACCGCCAATTTGCAACAATTTCAAAATATGCAAGGGAAACGGACAGCGCGAAGTCTTGGAAACTATAGTAAATCAGGATAATATCAAGCTACGTGTGGACGCAAAAACATTTTTATGCGCAGCCTGATCCGCAACAAATACTTTGCGAATAGAAATACATCCGAATACGTTTGGATGGGGCCTCAGTGTACAATAACGGGCTGTTCTAACGTTTCCTGCCCGTAAGGCACAAGTCTTCACACATTCCTTTTATTGGGTCCGACAAACCTGTAGAAATAAGTGGCTCGAGTACAATGCCCAATACCAAATATGGGTAGTACTTGTATATTACAATTAAACCCAAGAACTTGACTATTAAGTATATTTTAATTTGCAAGACAAACAGGCTTGTGTAGTATCTTTTTTCCAGTCATTGCTGACCGAATCTTCTCCTACATATGGGGCACAAAAAGCGCCTGTTTATACGAGAGCTGGGATGCATTGACTCCCGAAATAGGAGATGAATGAGACCTCGGATTTTATACATTTTCTATAGGTAATTATCAATTGTTTATATGGAATCGGGACGTTTTTTTTCTTGATCCGCTTAGTCGGGATCGATTATTTTTAAACGTGATCTTGGTAAACACGGGACATTTATTTGTCGTATAAATGCTCAAATTTTTCATTATCCAGGTGCAACCCTGTCAAAATCAATCAGATATAGTTAACTGTAGCAACGTTTTATCAAAATCACAAAGTTTGGAGAACAAAACAATAGATAGCAGTCAAAGTTCAGAGTGATGCTGCCGAACACTACTGTCGAAGTCTTTGTCATAAATTTTATTTGATGAATCCAACAATGAAGATGACGAACTTGATAAGGCCAATTTGTAAAAAATGATGCAATACTCAAAATATCTAAGAAAACTATTGATGATTACAACACACAATTTATTTTGAATGCCTTGAATAAAATAAAGCGAGTTCCTTACATGACGTCACGACATGCACTTGATACCAGACCCCTTACTGAAAAAATACTTGCAGAAAATTTTGAATTTTAACAGCAATTTCCCAAGCTGGATTTAATGTCAATCAATTTACTTTTTTGAATTTGTTAATTTCGTGAACTGTTCTTTCAAACAATGCTAAAATGCTGTAAGGTTTTTATGCACGTTAAAGATTAAGCTGTTCAACGATTTTTTTCTTTTTTTCAGCGTATTCTTGTCCACGTTTTACCCTCTTTCCGATTTTTACCCATTGTTTATTGTTTTCCGTTCGTTTTACGGTTTTCCTTAATTCCCTACCCAAATAGCAACTAGCCTGTGCTCATCTATAGCTACAGTGGATACAATTATTCAGGAACTCGAGAGTTTTCACATTTGTAACAATGTTTTAGCTTTGTCTAGGTATTTTAATCAATCATCTCAATTCAATATTCATTATAGCTACATTCTTGCATTTTAATCGGCATGACAAAGATACTAACCTTGAGAGGAATTCCAAAACTTTGTAAAGTACATGTATGATTTTGTATGACATTCATATAATAACTACGACAATAAGTAAGACTTTTCTCACCGCTATTGCTGCATTTTTTGTTTTTAAAAGAATTCACCATGAACTCTAATCGATCGAAACAGTTTTTAGCCGTTATTCTCTTCTCATAACATGTTGTCCAACAATCTTCCATGGTTTCTCGAGCTTTGGGATGATTGACTTCTTGCTCCATAATTTCAGGACGATGACCGTCTAATAATTTTGCTCTGAAATTTTCCCGTATGATCGGCATAAGCTCTCGAAAAGCTGTAACACCATACCACATCTCCCAAAGCATGATACCAAAACTATAAATGTCCCCGGGTTTTATTCTATGCTCTAAATTTTTAAGTACTTCAGGTGCAAGATATATCAAACTTTCCTCAGCTTCTTTGAATTGGCCGACAATTCCCACATCAGATATTGCTACTTTGTCGTCATTTGTTACCTAAAAAGTGTATAAAAGCAAGTGAGCAACTAAGGGGATGATTACATGAAGCATTTCCAACCTTGTCCTGAACTAAACCATGTAAGTGAGTTGAAATTTCAGCCCATTCTTAATACGAAACATTTGTTATCTCAAATGTGCGATTATATGGCAAATTTTTAACCCTACTGTGCAGAGTTCAACCCCGGTGCTGAAATTTCAACACTGTTTTAGCTAACGAGGTTAAAATTTCAGCCCAATGTTGAACTCAGCCCTGGGACTAAAATTTCACCTTGTAATCGTTTTTAACGAAGGGCTGAGTTTTTTAAGCATATATAGTCAATTGCTGTCGGCTAGAGATGTTCTTTATGTTATATATTTCGGGTGTCTATTACATTAGAGTCCTTTTAATTTCTATCCTCGGGGATGTGATTTTCAATGTAAACGCAATAAATTTCATCTCACTTAACGGGATCCTGTTCAGTCCAGGGTTGAAAATGCTCCATGTAATCACCTCTAAGAACAGGGAAGTTGAAGGCAAAAGTCCTAATTAGCCTGTACATTGTTTTCTTTCTACAGATAATATCCCTAAAACACCTATTGATGATACATATCAGCAAAAAGCAATAAAAATTTATGATAAATTTACAAACCAGAACATTTTCCAATTTTAGATGTCGGTGAACAAGACCCATTTCATGAATGTAGTTCAATCCATCAGCAATTTGTTTTGCGTACGTAAAGTATTTCATTATCGCTTGTTTGGTGTCATTTGATTGGGTCGGGCAAGAGTTTGAATTAAACAGATGCTCACGTAAATTAATTTTGCAAATTGGCATCACAAAAATATAGCAATATTTTGACTTGCTACAAGTTTCTATCTTGATTGCACCCAGAAATTTAAGAACATTTTGATGCTTTAAATGCCTAGAGCGAGAATTAAAAATGAATTAAGGTGACAGAGTTATATGCGCAACATTTTAATATAGAACTATTTTGGAGTGTTTTTACAATAGTTTTATCTATTTTGTCAATGATTTTTAGAAGTACTACAATTCAAATCGATGCAGAACGACTCATTAAAGAGAATAAGAAAACAATTGAAATAATAGAAAAACCCGAGTCCAAATTGAATGCAGTTTTAAAGGGAGAATTCTGAAACGGGGAGAAAACTTTAAGAAAATGTGAATATGACGCAAATAAATTGCAGTCGAAATAAAATTGTGAAAGTTTTCGATTTGTCTTATTTGAAGTAACTCAAGTCATCGCCCAGTCGGGGAAGTTAAAAAAACGACCTAAAATAGTTTGTTTTTACATTAAGTAAATAAAAATGTTTAAAGACATCACGTTGCACATTGCACCTTTTGCACCAGAAGTTGTTTCACCTTGCACCGATTGCACCAGAAGTTGTTTGACATTGCACCGGTTTCACCAGAAATTTTCTAACATTGCTAATTGTACCGATTGCACTAGAAGTTGTTTAACTCTTCACATTGCAACAATTGCACCAGAAGTTGCTTAACATTGCACTGAGTGCAACAATTGCATCAGAAGGTGTTTAACATTGCACTTTGCACTTATTGCACGAGAAGTTTTTTAACGTTGCACAATGCACTGATTGTAACAGAAGTTGTTTAACATTGCACTTTGCACTTATTGCACGAGAAGTTTTTTAACGTTGCACCGACAGCACATTGAAACGATTTCATCGTGGGATACCAACTAAGAATGTTAATTGTGAAAATCGTTATAGCAAATTATGATTAGAGGAAAATGGATCAAAATTTAGGTAAAAGATTGTTATATAAGGGATTTGCCGTCAGATTCTATAAAATAAGTTTGTTAAAATCAAACGAAAATGTTGAACAAAATGAGATGTTAAATAAATGAAATCAATGCTCTAACTTGTCAAACAGACACCAAAATACTGGATATTTTCTTTTCCATATTTATTTGTTGGTATAAGGAGAGTCACATGTTTGTAAATGTAGATTGTCCAGGTTGGTATTATCCTGAGAAGGACTGTTTTTTTGTTGTTGACTGACGTCTACATTTACGTCTACATACGTCTACAACCTGGACGATCTACATTTACAAACAACTAACGATACTCCCGGGTTCAAACCATACACTTTATAAAGAGAGTCATTGAACTAAATACAATCCAAGAAAGTCAAACTTTCAATCTGTTAAATTAAAACAACATAAACAAAGGGATGAAGCTCAAATTTAAGAAGGAATAGACATACAGGAGTCGTCAATTTTGTGTGTGTTTTGAGGGATATATTATGCACATATTTCTTTGTATTTTAATTTCTAGCCTCTCTGCAGAAGAAAGTAATGAATTTTTCAAGGAGTGCTCGTACTTAGAAAAAGAATTTGGTACAGTCAACTGAATCTAGTATAACTTTCATCATTAGTCATATGTACAATTTTTTAAGTAAACAGGATAAAGTATCTGATGTTTCTAATCTTGTTAATGAAGCATTGTATAGAATATTTTATGTGAATTGCAGTTTCCAATCTAACCATGATTTCAGAGGCAATTCAATTTTTATATTCCTTAACGACGTAAAAAATCTAGTAATCATAATTTAGCAGGAAGATAGCATAGCAGGAAGATAATTTGCTTTTCTATATTAATATGAGATGGCTTGTATGCGGAAAATTTTAAATTTCTTTAAGTTTACCTGATCTTTATTTCCTCGTTGAAATAAAATCTTGTATTGATATCATCAAATGGCTTGTTAAACACTTTAACTGCAACATCTGTCATCTCACTTCGCGAAAATATTTTTAGGTGACCACGATATACTTTTGAGAACTCTCCCTCGCCAACAAAAACATGTTCAGCAGTACTCCAGGCAAGATCACGACGATCTAACAATTCAGGAAACAGCTCTTCTCCCAAATCAATCATTTCCTCTCTCAAACGTTGTGTTGTGATGAAAATATTCTTGTATTCTTTATACACTTTGTCTTGATTGCGTGTTTCATATTTCAACTGTTTCACCATCTTCCTGTCTGCCTCAATCCGACGAGGTATAAGGTTGTGATAAGCAGAAACAATTTTCTTAGTTTTTGCCATGACTTGAACAGCCTCTGTTAATATTTCTTCTTTTCTCTTTGCCTCTAAAAACTTTTGAGACCGTTGTTTCATGTATTTCACTGGATTTTCTGAAAACTCTAATTTGTGTTTGTTGTGATCAATCATCTTAAAAAACGTCATAAAACCAATGACTGGTGCGCTAAGGAATATTCCTGCAGCGGCAACTGGAAGCCAAATAGGCGAAGCTGCACCTACAAGAACTTTTGTTGGTAAAGTTTGACTTCGGTTTCTGAAGTAAGCAACCTGCCTTTTGATACTGCTGCCAATGCCTTCAAAGCGTTCAAGATCTTCTTTTAACAAATTGAAGCTTTAAAAAAATAACTAAACTAGTCACGACAAACGAAGAACAAATTTTTTTTGTAAAATAGTAGCTCCCCCTTTTCGCCACTTCTAATATCATTTAAATTTTGAAAAAGGTTACTAAAAACTCTATAGAAGTAATAAAATAATGCTATATTGACGTATACTGACGTCAATGCTCTGCTGACTTCTATTGGGCACCACCATTTGTGTTCCAGTCTTTTACTTCAATTTTTTGACTGTCAGAACTAATAGCTTTTAAATATTTATATCTTAAAAATAGGAATTTTTTCTTAATATCTTTTAAAGAACCGATCCCTTAGAAAACTAATACATCATTTTAAGAACCGATACAGTAAATGATGAGTACAAATTTGCATTGAAGAAGCAAGAAGTCGAGCTGCGTACTGACAATGGTCTTACTAAGTACGGAATTCAGCGTTTGTCAAACAAATGTAGCTCCTTAATTTTAAATTCAAAGTACTTTCAGAAAAATAAAATTGATTTTGAATTTCTAATTTTACCAATAAACTTGTCTCTAAGGGGCTGAAAAATGTAAATATATTCCAAAATGGGCTGCAGTAATTTATTTTGACCCATCCTATATCCTCCACTGGTCTTGAAAGTAGGATTTTTTAAAAAACAAACCTTTTCAAATGGTCATCAACAATCGCGGAGTGGATCTTGGCATATACCTTTTCTTTTTTTTCCCATTCATCAAGCAAATGTAAATATTTCCTAACAATTGCTTTATCAACATTTTCTTTTGTCTTTTCCCAATTGCTACCGAGAAGATCAAATGCATATTTGCTCTCCCATGAAAATAACTGGTGTTCGAACTCTTTTAAGGAAATATGTTCTTTGATTTTGTTGGAGAGAGCGTTTTGTTGACGTTCTAAATTAGTCAGCAGTTGTGTTTCATGTTTGCTATAAGTTTGCTGAATTTTGATAGCACGTTCGCTCAATAGTTGAACTTGATGACGTTTATCTTGCAAATCACAAACAGTTTGGTCATAGAAGTTTGACAGCGTGACAGTTTCAGACATTATTGTGTCTAACCACCTTTGACAACATTGAAAAAGATCATGAGAACCGATTTCATAAGTTAAAATGCACATTTTTTAAAATTTATCGTATGTTCTAAGTCGCGATGTCGATTTCAGAAAATACTCTTTTTTGTTTTGGTTTGAAGAATCTAAACGCAATAAAATGGCATGCCATGTTTTTTCTCAAACATTACTATGGTAAGGAGAATGTAATCTCAAATTGAACGCATCAAACATCGACTGCTGTACTGTTTGACATCACTGCATTATGCAAGATAATTGATTATGCAAGAATCTTTACTGTAAATTGTTGACACAATGCATACAACATAGATTTAAGATATTACTTACTGCCAATGGTTGTATAGTCTCAAAATGATTGATCTCAGAATCAACTGATGAATATTTTCCAACAAAATTTTGAATTCTGGAGCACTTCCACCATAATCTTGTACAGTGATAGCATCAGTAGCTGACATGAATATCACGTGTTTTTCTATATTAGGCATCCCCCAACAATCTTTAAGCTCATCGTACACATTTCGTTTCACTTTTTCTTTTTCTTCGTTACTCTTTTTTTTCAACATGTCCCATTTATTACCAATAAACAAAGTGCATTCAGTCAGACGACTCATATGTTCAACGCTATCAAAAAGAAGGTTGATCTTTTCAGCCATGGCTTTCATCTAAGAAAAGAAAACCATAAAAGAAAAAAGTCTTAGTGTCTAAAGATCACTTTCAAAGAGTGTAATACTTTTAAATCAACAATAACACACCATTTGGTTCTGCTATGATAGTTTTCAATGCATAAAATGAAGCTTGTTTAACACACTTACTTTATAGTATTTCAAAAGTAAAAGATGGGTTTACAGATTGAGTGGCGACGAGCATGCTCTTCATTTATTTGGTGGAGGAAAAATGTTTGACGCTTACCTCAGCTTAGTTCAAATTTAAAAAATTCAAAATGATGGCAAAATTATTCTACGAAAGGCTATACCTTGCAAGCCACCCTTTCTTCGCTATATCGAGATCATAAGAAAAGATATTAATACCTTTTTCTTTAAGACTTTGTCAATACCACCGGCATGTGGAATATCTATAACGTAGATATATGCAAAGGCTATCGGTAGATACTTCATCAGTATTGCATCCATTTCATCAGAATGACCAACACCTGGACTGTCGAAAATTACAACTCCTTGCTGTAAAAAGATGTTTGAACGCGAAGAATTCAAAAATTTAAATAAAGTTAATATTACAAAAAACATACATAATGCTGATGTCAATTATTCTTAAACCCATCTTTTTCAACATTTGCACCTTTTAAATGCAGCAATGAACGTTTTTTATCAGTCGCAACTGTTGCTATTAAAACGTGGTGCTAATATTATCACACGTTTATATTTGTAATCAATTATAAATTCAACTAAAATGGGAATTTCAGAACATTGTAAAAATTCAGTTCTTCTGATCGAGTGTATAACATCATTGTTGCTGCTTGAAGAACGGCAACCTACACCTAAATTTATTTATACGTATTATACCTGGGTGTAACATTGGTCGTTTATTTATACACAATTTGAGAGCATGTGATTGACTAATGCATTCTACCAGTAATAGCTGCGATATCTTCTGTCTTTAAGATAAAGAGATTTATTGCTTTAAGCGAGTTTTCGAGGTGATAAGTGGACAAGTTTTGATTTTTCTAATAATCCTTTCACTAAATTCAATTTTTCACATTTCTTTTTAATTTAGCTAATAGCTTAAATAACTCACTTGACGTCATCAAGTTGCAAAACAGCACCATTTTTCATACGGTTGCACATACAAGTCATAAAGTTGCATCGTTTTATATAGTTTGGAGTGCATGCAAGTCATGTGTTTCATATGCATCTACTCTCATTTCATAAAAGTACTTTTGCTCTTTGTTTGAAAGTTAACTCCGTACTCCAATGGAATATATCACGTTTTCTTTTGCATCAAATTAGTCTCACGACTGGAAAAGTTTCTCTTAGTGCTACATACTTGAAATGTATGAACAAAAATTATTTTGCGTGATTGCCAGGCTGAAGTTTATTGTTTGATTGATTTGTAATTTGAATGGTCTATAGCATTATGAAAAAAGTATGTGGGAACAATTAGGGCATACTGCTTTAGATTTTTGTTTAAACTATACACTTAAGCACAATGATTTATTTTTAGGTGGTTTTTACCTTTAACAAATCATGGGGCCAATATAACTCAAATTTTTCAATCAGATCAAGCTGTTCATTAGCTACGCATGACTCAAGTTGCTCAGAAAAACTTTTCCCACAGTTTTCTCTGCTCTCGATTGGAATTTGCTTAGGTAGTGGAGGACATTCTTCATTACCATTCATAGTTTTGTAGTGAACAACAACAGTTCTTTTTCCACCATATGAAATTTCCCAAATGTTTGCAGTTTTATGCAGTGTATGACATGGTAATATATCCTCATTTAAAATCAAATTAATCAATGTACTTTTACCACAACTTGTTTCCCCTACAAGAAAGTAGGATACAATTTGTGCAATAGTTTTCGTGTCCTGCTCACTACATATTTTATACTACTATTAAATACCAAGACTTAAATGCAAACGGCTCTGCTGGAACTTTTATCGATTCATAGCTTACCAGATATTAGAAGATAATATTGAGTGTGAATTAGTTTTGATTTCATTTCCGAAAGAATATTGTTAACTGCTATATCAACGCCAAGAAGATCTTCCAATATTGACAAATCTTGATCTCCAAGATTACTCAAACATTCCTCCAATTTTGTGTAAAAACAAATCAGCTTTTCCCTTTTCTCTTTGTCATTACGTTTTGCGTCACAAATAATCTCAAGACCCTAAATAAAGTATAAATACTAAACAATGTTTGAAAAATGTTATCAGGGCTATAGAAACATGACCATATTTATTAGTGCTTGATAATTTTTCCGAGATAGAATTCAAAAGATAAGTTTGCTAAAGATAGCTGATAAAAATAATCGCACCAAATTTGGTAACACAGACAGAATGAGTAAAGTTTCTGAAAATAATTTATATCACTACGATTTATAAATATGGATTGCTAAAGCATTGAGCTACCGAGATTCCGTTTGAATATTGTCCATTGTCAGAACTTTGATCTTGAAGTAATTGTTGAAGTATTTTTTTCAATTCAGATTTGTCGAGATCATCGTCATATTCTACATTTAAGATTTCAAAGAGCTCCAATATTTCCGTTAATTTTTTCAAGTCAGCAACACTTTTCCTTGCCATTTAGATAACAAAACGATTCTACCTAAATAACCAGCGCGTTTAATCTACAATTACAACACTTGAATGCAATAATACACTCTGAATATAGTACTGTATAATTCTAAATAATAAATCACTTAAGCTCATGCCACCCAACACATCACGCTTTTATCAATATGTTTACAACGGCAATGACAAAATGCTAAATGAAAGGGTTTCATACGTTGTAAACATACGCCTGTTTACAACGGCAATGACAAAATGCTAAATGAAAGGGTTTCATTGTTGTTAAATTGAACTTACCAAAATGGTTCAGTCCCTTCAGGTAAATTTTACGTTTCTACATTACAGTTCCTTGCTCTCAATTGCAAGTTGTTCTTGTTATGACGCGAGAGCATTCATGTATAAAGCCAAATACAGGTTTGTCAGCATTATTGCGACGAATCTCGTTGTCATAATTTCTTAGTATTCAAACACTATTGTACATATTCACAACGCAATTTAGAAATTTACATTCCAACAATTAACAATGCATATTTTAAAAATGATAAGGAATTATTTTGGGGTTTTTCATTTAGTGTGATCTTTGATTTTGGGATTGTGATTTGTTTGTATCGTATTTGTTCTGATTAAGAGCTGTATGGTACATGATATTAATTATTGTACAAATTGTTCGGGGTACTTAACGTAGTTTGAATTTATATAGTAATCTATCGACTCACCGCCAGTAAAATGTAAATGCAAGTCATGCATACAAATAAAAATTTGCTTTTGTATATTTATCCTACAAAATAAAACAAATTTGAAATCAATAATTGACTTGTATTTTAAATTATACTCTCCGTCATTTTTTAAATTTTTGTAATTTTATGGGGGAACCCCGTAGGGTTAAACCTTTTAATGTAAATAAAACTTTTTATTTTTACCTTCCCAGTACTGATTGGCTCACTCTCTTTTTAACATTGCACTCAAATCAACCGACCATGCATTGCTGCTTAAACATTCATCATTGTTCTGTTCGTATGTGGTGAATAGCGCTCATTTAAACACAAGAGTATCAAAACGTTCGGGAATCTTCGCTGAACAGGAAAATTTTCATCCACCCCGATCAAATTAAATTCAAAGTATCTGCCCATTTGAAAACAACGAATCGCGCTTTTGATTATTATTATGTCAAAATTCTGTAATCTTTCTCTAATACATACCTACTCTCCATCTATAAAAGTCTTCTAAGTTCCAAGCCACCCAATTCTTAACATCCAGAGATTTTTCACACTAATCTGTCTCTAACTCTAACTCATCAAATTCCACTGCACCTTCATCAACACATTTTTAGTTTTGCACTAAGAAAATATCTTCATGATAGAATGTGTGTATTCCTAAAGATTACTTCGTCTGAAAATGTTGTTAATCACAATAAATTTATCGTAAATACGTTTCATTGTAATAATAACGTCTGTTAACGTTTATATCGTCTAATAATAACGCTACCCTCAAATAAAATTTTATTGAAAGTTTTATGTTGGGTGGTTATAGCCATTATAGGAATAAAGGTACTTTGCTGAGGTTGTAGGTAAATGCCCACCTGAACGCACGAATAACATGCATTTTTAAACTCTGCCCCGACAAATTGACAAAAAAAGTTGGTCTCATAATTTTTTAAGAAATTTCGTACAAATTCTCATTAAAGATTTACAAACTAATTAATTGTTTCGTTTTTTTAATTCTCGCATAACACAAACACAACACAGCATAACATAATTGGTCAATTTATAGCAGTGGGATGCATAAAATAACATGTATTTATGTACAACTGTCCAAATTTTAAATTAGGAATACATTGATAAACAGTTGGTTAGAGTTAATTTTACTAACATTGATATATTAAAGGCTAAGCCGTAAAATGATTGTTTAATTTGCATTATTGATCTTTACATTTATGTGTTTTGATTGATATTAACGTTAGAACACAAACAATAACCAATTAAATTATGTCAACTGGAACTTGAATAAGGTTGACTGCATTTTGCTCACTTTGTTTACCAAAATCAAAGAATATACACGTTCACCAACGCTAACAAATATACAGTATTTTTATTTTCATCCGGATTCATGTTGCTCAGTTGTTTTCAGGAAAGAATCACTTTTCGTAAGCAAAGTCGAAGGTTAGTCCTCCATGTTGTTGTCATTATTTATGGCATTCCCATAAGTGAAAATTATAAATTGTCTTTAGAATAAACTCTGCTGCCACTGTGATTAATAATCCAGTTCTCTTTACATATATATAAATATCTCCAATAAGACACAAAAATATTTAGAAACACTTCCCGTATCATAAAAAAATAGAACACGAGAAAGAAATAAATCAGCTTGAAAATTAACTCACGTTTCCTTTTATTTGCTGATGATACATTTTTTATACATGCAGTGATTATACACATGAAATTCACCGGTAGTACAAGACTGATTACACAATACAAAGGGAAATGAAAATCCCATGAATTTCTTACATTGTAGCGCTCGATTTGATTCAATTAACCACTTGGTAAAAATTTGACCAAGCGATATTTGTCGTGTTATTCCTTTAATGGATTCAAGTTTACAGCCAAAAACTCCGCAATGTCATCCCCTTTTAAAAAAAAGTGGCTAAAACTAGCATGAAAGGGGTACGAAGGGGTACAATTTCGGCGGAGTCAGATACAGGGCCTTTTTTAAGAATTTCTCAGGGGGAGGGGGGGGAAGGGGGCGGATTGACAAAAGAGGTCTAGTGTAATACAAGAAAATAAGATGTATAGAAATATCCATACTTGCCTAGATAGATAGATAGATAGATAGATAGATAGATAGATAGATAGATAGATAGGTAGATAGATAGATAGATAGATAGATAGATAGATAGATAGAAAGATAGATAGAATCATAGATTTCGCTAGTAAATGTTTCTTATAGTTCGTTGCACAATACACAATGCATGAAAAAAACAAAGGCTCAACATTTCTGAAAAAACTTAATCCATGTGAGCGATATACTTCATCTTATATGGTAGCGGATATAGGGGTAGTCATAGCGAGAAGCAGCGAGCAAAATAAATTAAAGCTGCTTAATTTTAAATTCAAAGTACTTTTAGAAAAGCACTATTGGTTTTGAAATTTTTTAAAAAAATCAGCATGAATTGAAATGGTGAAAAAAGAAGGCAAATGCCTGTCAAATGGAAGCACTGAATGAAATATTTTGTTGAAGTTTAATAAGACAAGAGAAACGTGTTTTAGTCTAAAAAAATGTATTGGTGATTTTCAATCTGTGTTTGCTTTCTGTTCATTGTGATTTTATTATTACCATAATGCTTAAGACAAAAACATTTGTAAAAAAGACCCGGCGAGGAAATGTTATGAAAATCGTCCGAGAAAATATAAACAATGAATACGATAGATGTGATAGTTACAAAAACATTCCACGAATGAAAATTACCTAATATTAATCATAATACGGTTTTTTTTATATGCACATGAAAAACATGTGAAAGGATATTTTTCCTTAGGAAATGTGTAACTTGTTGAACAAACGTCATCACATGGCTCAGCTTGCGTCTCGCTCTTCTGTGGATCTTCATACTCAGGTCAATATCATATTAATCATGTTTTCATCATACACTCTGATTTTATTAAAAACCATATTTTCATGCTAAAATCCATGATTACATAAAAAAATCAGTTAAGTCTGCCCTCATAGGATCTTATGAAAATTGTCCCCCACTTTGCTTTTAATTACTTAAGCATTTTCACATTATATAACTATTAAAACTATAGTTATCTAGTCAGTCCTAACTTATGCTTAACACAATTTTGGAAAAACTTTTACGGCCATGAATAGTTTATAGGCCGAATGTCTTACGGTCTTATTACATGCTTATCGTTTCACATACTTAGTGGATATTTCTCGCATGTACTGTTGGATTAAAGCAGCTTTTTTTTAATTATAGCTGTTCTTTAAAGATCGAGTAAGTATTGAAGAAGCCTTTGTATTGTTTGTGCGTAGAAATGCTCTTCAAGTTTTGATTCCAAAATATGGGATCGAAGGAAACATATTTTTGCGGGAAACGACATCGCGAAGTAAATTCAATGAAGAAGTAAGTGACATATTGGTTGCTTTTTTTATTACAAAATCGTACATTTTACTTTGTGTTTTATATAGGAGATGTCAATAACCATTGGTGATGTGACGTTTAAAGTTTTTTCTAAGATTCGCGTGCAGATAAAAGTCGATACGTCTGCATCCAAATATCGATTTGTCAATATAATGCTTATGGATCCTTACGTAAGTACATAGACATGTTCTGCTTTTTCTTCTTTTCTTATTTTAATGTTGTACATTAACTATAAATTGTCTTTGCTGTCATTACAATGATGTTTTTGTAGTTCAAAAACTTTTTCCCAGCCTTATGTTTCTTTATCAACCTAACCCATATAAACCTGTTTTTGGTCGAATTTACCCTGTAATTGTAGCTGCCTTCTCATGTGTTTGTTGAGTTTAACGAATAAAGTAAAGGTGTAGTGTTTAAAAAAATATGAATTAACTTAAATCGTGTGAATTGCAGGTCCCTGGCCTTAGTGTTGATGAAATTGATGATGCTAGCAGTGTAAACTCTTTACAACCAGAATTTAAAAAACTACGAACTGCTTGATGAATGAAAATGATAAAGGTTGCATTTGTCACTTTAATCCGGGGTTGTTGATGAAAAGTACTTCTCCACAGATACATTAGCTAATGTATTTTATCGTTTTGAAAAGATTGTAGTTTTTCAATGCAAATGTATTTTAATTGAAATGATTTGTAAAACGTTGTAAATACGCGTAACTAATCTCTCTCACACTAAGTATATGAAAACTTGTATAAATTTACGAATATCATGGACGCACAACAAACGAGCTAAATGAGTAATTTAATGATTTAGATGCTAATGTTTTAAAAAATCTGGAGATAAGACGTGGACATGGACTTTCTTAATCAATGGCAAAAATGAATTATTCACGTGAATCTCACTTTACTGATGAATCCACAAGGTAATATTTACGAGGTCATATTTTTTTATATAAAAACACACTTTCTCAATACAGCTAATTGCAAATAAAAACATCCTTTACAAAGTAAGAAGTGGACAGTTTTGTTAGGATATTGAACAAGTAGACGTGTAAACTAACGTCACACAAATATCAATAAATAAATATAACAATACAAATTTCGAAATGAACGCGCTTCAAAACTTCAATCGTCCAGCTGACAAAGTAAGGCAACACTGCGTTTAATCCAATGACTTTCATGTTTATCAGTTGGTAAACAGACAGGCATGACATAGTTGGTGGAATGTCCAGTAGTGGATAATGTACCACGTCTTTCACTTGTTTTATATACTGGACATCTGTACGTCTGACTGAAGATTATTTCCGCTGTTTTACCTGCAGCAAATATTTCAAATTATAAGAATTTCGCTCATACGCGGTTAGCTGAACTTAGCTATTTCCTTAACCTGTATGTTTCGAAACAGATAAAAAGGTGAAGTTGTGGACATTTGCTGGTAAGGCATGATTGTGAAATAAGACAAAACTGCACTACGCAAAATAACTTACGAGATTTCTTTAATGTACTTTTGTATCAATAAATATCCTCGTTTATAAAATAACCTTTCAAAAATACGGGCCCTGATTAGTCGAATGCTCGAAAAAACCATGTTGATATAACTCAATCATGCACCAGATTTCAATCTCGCAATAATCTCGCAGGTTGCGTGGTTTGTGCGGGAAACTTTAATGACGACGCTATTTTATAAACGAATTAGAAAGCATATATTTACGTGTTCCTATTTATATAAACAATTGTGTAAGTTTGGAAGAAATTCAAAATTGCTTGAAAACACTTGCACTTCGTGCTCGTGCTTGCCACGCAATTTCTCGTTTCTCTCAAACTTTCCCACGTTTTTTTAATAACTATAGAAACTCGGAAAATGTTCTCTATTTCATTTAGGAAGAGACACATAATACGTAATATGGTAACCATGTAATCTTTTGAAGATTGGATAGCAAGTTTTTTTAAACTTTTATAAAACCTTCTAAAAAGAAAAAAATATAAGATTGGAATCACTGAAATAAAATATTACTTCGAAGATTACGAAACTTTGTCGTATGAAAAATATAAGCACCTTTTTTACAAGTTTGAAAATTTTTGATATCCAATGGATAACGCTATCCAGGCTTCGTGCAACCGGCCCCTGTTGTTGCAGTGAGTCATTCTAGTGGTTAGTTGTTGCAGTGAGTCATTCTAGTGGTTAGTTGTTGCAGTGAATCATTCTAGTGGTTAGTTGTTGCAGTGGGTCATTCTAGTGGTTAGTTGTTGCAGTGAGTCATTCTAGTGGTTAGTTGTTGCAGTAAGTCGTTCAAGTTATTTTTAGATGTCACAGCAAATCCCTTCAATGGTTAGATGTAGAGTGGGTTCAATAGTTGGTTATTTATATTCAAAGTGTAGATTCATATTTCTAGAAGTTGCATCAGAATTTTTCTTAGACTTAAGAGTTTCCTTAACTCTTAAGCCAACACGCTAGATTAATATCATGTATTTTTTTCAACTGCAAAATGACACAATCCTTTGAACAGCTTTGTGGCAACAAAAAATCTTTCCTCGAAAAAGTATTTTTGAGCAAACAATATCACCGTAAATTAACATTGAAACGTAGCAATATTGGTTTTATTTGGACAGTACTTTGAGAGTAACTTATAAAAAGCAATGCTTTCTGTGTTTGCAAGACGAATATGTTAACACGAAATTGGAGACAGCTCGGATTTTTCAAAAATCTTTAATGTAGTGGATATTTGTTTATGATATACATTTGACAACAACAAATGAAAAAAAAACCCTAATAAGTATATGTGCTTTTTTTATTGTAAAGATTAAAATGTTTTAAGAGATTTGTTACTAGGATGTACTTGAGAAAAAATTTAAAGTTGTTGCTTTGATAACAGTGATCCTTGATCTTTCTGAGGAGATGTAAATGGTGTTAATAAACATGAGTCTAATATCTTTGATGATTTACCACGAGTTCGCTTCATCCATTCTAAATCAGTTTCGACAGATAATTGAACCACTGTCAAGTGCAACCAGAAATGGTGATTTTATTGTTGCTGGGGTTTTTTTATTATATTTTTGATATGTATAGAGTTTATGTATAGCTTTTTTTGTGACGCACCTTTTGCGATCCCATCGAGCACCTTCCAAAAATAGACCATTGACGTAAACTCCATCATCTGGTGGCTTAACCACATTTTCTTTTGAGATGACCTGAACCGATCAAATACAATTGTTAGCGGTAAAAATATTTCAACATGCACCAAAGAGTATTTATACTTTTTTATTTCAAAAAACCCGTTTGTCAGTTACATAAAAATAGGCATGCAGAGCGTACAAAAGTGTACTTAAGCAAGTGAACACGTGACCAAAAAAGAATTTTAAGTTGACCGACAACATAAGACAAGTAATGTTTTATACCTTAATGTTTTATAAGAAGGAAAATCAAAGAAATACATGGTAGTAGAATAAAAAGAAAGTAAGACAAAAGTGAAAACTATAAAAAACGAAAAAGCAAACGGCGAACGCAAAGAAATAGGCAACAGAGCGAGAGCCTGCAGTGGACTAAATTTTAATCAAAACAACAGAATGAAAAGAATTTGGAAAAGAACGACGAACGAGAAGAATAAATCTGGAAGCAGACCAGTTAATAGGTTTGGTACAGAAGAACTAAGATGTGATGTAGATGATGGCAAAATGAAAATGGGAAAGGCTCCTGGACCCTAGTTAGTACGCCTTGAAATGACACAGGCCAGTAGAGAAACCAAGATTTATCAATTATGTAATAGAAGGGGAAGAACAAGAAAGGAAACGGTTGCAGAGTTTTGTTATTTAGGGAATAGAGTAAATACAGAAGCTGTTTTTTAGGAAACTGCAACAGCAAGAGTAGGAAGCAAGAGTGTAAATATAGCATGAAGCCCGTCTTAATGGAACGTGGGCTTTGGGATTTATAGCAGGAAATGAAGAAGTAGCAGCTGATACCGCTACTGATTCAATACAAAACGCGCATCGCCTTAGATCTGACAAAATATACTCGCTTAAAGCTTTGAATGTGGAGAAAAAACTTCAAGTGGATATATCCACAACTACTGAACAAAAGCTGCTTGGGAAATTTGAAGAAACAATTCCAGTGCGTATCCATTTCCCAAGTAGTTCGACTAACTCAAAGATTTTACAACTTAACGATGAAGGAAGGACAAACATTTTAGAGCACTTAACGTATTATGACCATGTTGGCGGAAAATTGAAGGAAATGAACGAAGTGATATCTTAACAGAAGTTTGCTACTGTTGTCATGGGACAGGCATTCGGGAGAGTAAATCACACAAGAATCGATATGGAGATAAGTCTCGTCAACAAAACCATTACATGCATAAAGAAATCAAATGCTAAAAAATGTGTGAAAATTGGTCATATTGTTCTGTATGCTCCAGACATATCTAAGAATCTTTTATCAGTTCCAGCAATGACAACTAAAGGTTTTGTGTGATAAAAAAGCTGTCATGTCACGAAAGAAGGGAAAACCAGAGAATGCTAATATTGTCTCCAGCAAAGGATCATTGGTAAAATGACATTGACAATATGGTCATCTTAATCACAAATATATTAATCAATTGGTCACAAAGCAGATAGTTGATGTTATGAGTTATGTTTATAGTGAAAGAAGCCAACAATGTGAAGCATGTGCAAGAGCAAAGATGCACAAAGTACATGTACCAAAAGTAAGTATATCAAGACCAATAATCTATTACAAATTGTGCATAGTGACATTTGTAGACCAATGAATGTGAACTCGATTGGAGGAAGTAAATATGTATTGACCATCACAGATGATTACACTAAATATGTTACAGTGTATTATCTAAAGAATAAATCTGAGTCATCAAAATTTCAAGAATTTGTAAGCATGGCAGAGAACGCTGCTGGCTATAGAGTTCAAACGGTCAGAACTGATAATGGAGGGGAATATGCAACTAATCAATTCAAATTGTTCTGAAAAAGGAAAGAAATTTTCCATTAGTACACTAACCCATACACTCCAGAAGAAAATGGTATTTCAGAGAAACTTAACAGAACACTAATTAAATCTGCTAAATCAATGTTTTTTCATGCAGAATTACGCTGTACGTTTGAGCAAAGGCAGTAAACACAGCGACCTATCTATACAATCGAAGTCTTACTACTTCCCTCCATGACAAGACTCAATATGAGTGCTTGCACAAGAAAAACATCACATATTAAACTTGAAAGTGTCTGGATCAATTTGTTTCGTTCACTTTCCAAACAATATACGACAAAAACTCCATCCAAAATCATGAAAAGGAATCTTCGTAGGTCATCCATTCGAAACAAAGGGTTTCAAAGTATACGATCTCGAAACGAAGCGTTTTATCCGAAGCAAGGATGTATTGTTTCATGAAAATACATTTTACAATTTTCAGCCGATTGTGAAGGAAAATGATGACGTATGGAAGCATAATATTGATAGATGATGAAATTGAGCCTACAATACCAGGCAAAAATGAGCCAGAAGAGTGTGCAGAGACGGCGGGAGCTGTTTAACAAGGATCCACGTAGGAAGAAAACTTGATGAGGCAAGTAGAGAATATTAATTCAACACGAAGAAGAGAACCTCCAAGGAGATTTAGGCGAGATGAGAGAAATGTTTCACAATCCTCGTATACAGATGACGAAGAACCAAGGTCCCTTAAAGAAACCATATGAAGAAAGAATGCTAGAAAATGGATGAAAGCTTTAGAGGAAGAATATGATTCGTTTATGAAGAATGACACATGGGACCTCGTTCCTCCACCGGATATCGCGGGTGTTGTATGTTCAAAATGGTTATTCAAAGTTAAACGCGATGCAAATGGAGAAATTGTCGCCCAAAGTATTCACAAACTTTCGGCATAGATTAAAAAGAAGTCTTTTCACCTGTCGCTCGTTACTCTATATCTGGATCATGATATATACATGTATCAAATTAAAATAAGTTTATATGGCTTGAAGCAATCGACTAGATGTTGGAATCAAACTTTAGATCGTTTTTGGGAATGGTTATCGTGAAAGTGGTGCTGACAATTGTCTTTATGTTTAATCAATGAAGCAATGCAATGGCGAAATTAAGTTTGTAATTCTAGCTGTGTATGTAGACGACATCATTCCTGTATCCAACAATCTAGAAATGCTTGAAAACGAGAAAAAAATGCCGCAGAAAGAATTGCAAATAGTCTATCAAGGGGAACTACATTTCGTGCTGGATAGGTCCGTTAGGAGGGATCGATCACGAAAATGTTGTCCAACAATCAAGAAATGTACTAGACCGTTTTGGAATGAAACAATGCAGCCCCATAGCAACACACCTAGAAACGGGAAAAACTTTTCATAAACGTACAAAAGAAGATGCACCATATACAAGGAATTATATCAACAAGCGATTTGGTTATCTAACCTATGTCTCGACGGCTACACGACCAGATATTGCAGCAGCTGTGGGAATAATCTCACATATAATGTATATATATATATATATGCTACGATATAGAGATCAATGATGTACATAGATGAATGGAAGGAATTCACTGTTTTCAAGTATGACATCATGTTAGCTGCATACAGGCTAGCTTCAATTTGTTTTAATTTTGCTATTACTAATAAAAGCAAATAATTTAACGTGAAACGTGTATGCGTTAAACGTAACAATTGGCTAATACTTACAAACAAAAACTGGAAAACTGTTTTCAAATGTAGAAAAGTCAAAGCCTAACTATCCAATTGTCGTTTTATAATGGGTGTAAATTGAGAAAAACCTTTATTTTCCGTGAATAAATTACCATGTAACAATACACTTATTTTCGCTATAATTGTTAATTCAGCTACCTTGAAGTCGAATCCAAGCAAGTCAATAGGAATGGTGTATTTCCGCGCGTAATTTTGCTTCGCTCCAGTTAAGAATGCCTGCAACAAATACCAATGGGATGAATGAAATACTGAAAACACTTACGGCATTTAAGTAGACTTAAATAATTTCCTTCACAGTGCTTGTGCACATGGCTATATAAAAATCTGTGCTTCCATTTCCAGTTCGATGAAAAATTTTCTTTTAAAAAGTACAACAAGAAAAATAACACAAACCTGTGTGAAGTAAAATCCAGATATCCAAAAGACAGAAGGCTTTCCATTGTCATACCATTCCTTCAAAACACGAAGACAACCTTTTCGTTAATTTTCATGACGTAAACACAATATTTACTGATTACCTATTTCATGAATATGACAACAGGACTAACCTGTAAAAATTTCAAACGATTCAGCAGGTCCGTAACATAGCCTCCCAACGGTTTTAAACTAGGATATGATCTTTTCATCCACATAGCAGGAACCTGAGTCAAGATTAAAAAAACAAGTTAAAAAGTAGAATATCACATTGACACAAACGTTCCAGTCCTACATTTGCAAGTTATGGCATTATCATCTAGTCAGCAAAAGTTGAAGCTATAAACTGGCAGACCTCTTTAAATGACAAAACTTAGGCTAAACCCTGCATTTAACAACAAGCTTCTCTTGATGCTGGTTCAAAAGAGCAACGAAACTTACTAAAGTATGTTAAAAAAGAATCCAAAACTCGAAGCAGACGGCAAAAACATCATTTGTTTACTTCATATTTTAATACGGGACCTAAATTTGCCTCCCCCAATTCACGCGTCGCCTAAATTCGTCATACAAAAGTTTCTCATCTTTTGTTACATAATTTTTATAAGACCTTAAACAAAAAACTGACAGATGGATTTGAGAAGGAAAATTTGAAAATGTATTTATCACAGAGAATATTATTGAAATAAACCCTTAGCAATATATCTTCTCAAGTGAAAAACAAACATTGGTGATAGTAAGCTCACTTAGCTGTTTGTTCATGTAATTTTTCCATGGTTACTCATTGCAAAAATAATTATTTTCTAAAGACATAAATGACGATAATGTTCAAAGAAATACAAATACAGGTTGTCTACGCTGTATTGACAATAACATCTTTATAGATTACAAACCTTGCCCACAAGAAGACTGGATGAAAGTTCTTCTAAAGCAGCGGACATGACCACTAAACCTTTGATAGCTTCAGTGTGTGTTGGTTTACGATAAACTGTTGTTCGTAGTTTTTGATTGTCATGTTTTACCTAACAGTCGAGAAAAGGAAGAGTTCCGTTTTCTTCGACATCTTTAGTAAATTGTATGTGGCTGTCCTGTTTGTTGATGTGAGTGTGAAAGTCATCAATCTTGTCTGCATGTAGTGCTGTGACTGTGTCATCTACGTAGCGGAACCAAAAAGGTAGTGCATGTTTGTAAGTCGTGAGCGCCCGTTCCTCTATAGATTGCATTAAAATTTCATCAACTACAACAGAAACGGGTGAACCCATTGCCGTTCCATTTAATTGTTTGTAGTGTGTACCTTTGTCCTGGAAGTAAGTCGAGGTGAGGCAGAGCTCCAGTAGCTCCATATTGTCTTCTGTCGGTAATGGCAGTACGTCCGTGGTGTTTGTAATGAGGGTTTTTGTACAAGTAAGTGCCAGGTTAAGTGGAATACTGGTGAACAGTGATTTCACATCAAAAGACACTAGTATATAATTGTCCGGTATTTATATAGTGCTCAGTTTTTTAATGAAAGTTTCAGTGGATTGTAGATTGTGTTTTGATTTTTTTGTAAGTGGTTTCAGTATGTTAGTCAAGTACTTTGAGAGTTCGTAAGTAGGCGAACCACAGAATGATACAATTGGTCGCATGGGTATTTGTGGTTTGTGAAGTTTTGGTAGTCCGTATAGATTGGGTGGTCGTGGTACTAAACATCTGAGTCGATAGTAAATACGTTCAGATATAATGTTAGATTTTCTCATAGAGAAGATCTTGCTGTTAAGTTTGCGTACTAGTGATGGTGTTGGGTCTCGTTTGAGTTGTTCGTACGTTTGTCTGTCGTTAACATTAGTCAACAACAACAAAAAAAGTCCTTTTCAGGACTATACCAACCTGGACGATCTACATTTACAAACATGTAATTATGATTAGTGGTAAAAATTCACACAAATCATTTATTAACAGCGAAAAGTTTCCGAAAATATGATGCTAGCTACTTGTTATTAGTTTTTATTGCGGTGTTTTGTCTTCATATATCGATTCAGTGATTACAGAAGTTTATGAAAGTCTTTTTTCATAGTTACTTTTATTTTTTATTGGCATGAGAAAGCTTTGTTTACCTTTTCACGAGAGAAAGATTGAATTAGAAAGCATTGTAAACGGCTTCGAGAGGACGCTTTCACTCTTCCCATGAAGACCCAAAATTTCTTCAAATATTTTATTGCTTTTGCTTGTGTCAAACGTATTTTTCTTGTACAAGGTATACAACGATTTGTTTCAAGTCACATAAATTAACTCCTTTTTACACCCAAATGACTGAAAAATTAGAGTAAAAACAAAAAGCAAGCACACATACATATTCAACACGCATGCGGATTAAGATACCGAAGTCCAAGCAACATCGTATACTGTTGTACAAGATACTGCTTTATATCATTCTGTCTGAGGATGACTTTACAAGAAATAAAGTCGAAAATTCACAGTGTTTTTGCGTTTAGTTTTGATTCATACTTCGTAATCTCAAAATACGGAGTTTGTCTTTTACTTTACTTTTCTAAATTGTTTGATTTTCATTTTTCAGGTTATCAATGCTCTGCAAATGATGGAAAATCAAAATGATCCTTTACCTGTCGCCTTGTTAGGGTTCAGAGGAAAGGGACCTAAGCGGTAAGTTATATGATTGCGCCTTAGCAATTGAGCTCACGAATGGAATCATATAGGTGTTGTTCGCCAACATTTTTTCTGGTTGTTGCCAAATTCGAGAAGTTATACGTAATCATAACTCTATCAGAACATATATTTGATTTTACAGTGACGAACAATATCGACAACTTTGGGTGGAATTGGAAACATTTCTCCGCTGCTCGAGATTGACCTCCAAAATGCATGCAAAACTTTTTAACTATCTGTGCAATGATGTAGATATTGATAAAGAGAATCGTGATGATTCTATAACTGCCACCAAAGACAGTAAGTCTATAAAAGTCCTTGCAAATTTGAGAAAGACCCATGTGTCAGTTGTAAGACTTTTTGGAATAGAAAATTAAGGGTGATTCATTATGTGATAGTGATCAACTGTTAATTATGTGACTAATCTCTCTTTTTCTTCTAATTTATCTTATAAGGCTACACGTTAATTTCTCTTTTATCTCACCAAACGTTTAATTTTAAGAGCTGCGTTCATGCAACACGTACTGTAACGAATATCTATGAAATCGTTATGTATATTTATGCGAAATGTATATTTATGTTATTTACTGTCTGGGAGGTCTTTTAGGAAAAAATATACAAGTTGTATCAAAAAAAAGTTGACTCGGAAAAATTCTAAGCGCGAGGACTAAACCAGCACCTTTTTTCAGTAAAAACCGACCTCAACGGTAAATAGAATATTAATTTTTTTATACTGAAAAAATTGTGTTACAAAAAGGCCGATGGGACTTGTTTGTACTGAAATTTGATTGTTTTCTACAAAGTTCACATTTTCTGGATGGTAAAATTTACAATCAGATTGTGGGAAATTAAGAAAATATCACTTTGCATGCATAGATAAAAAATAATACACGATTTTAAACATTCTTGATAAAAATACGCACGTTAAGTTGTATGCAAGTTTTTTAACGAAAATAAACTAAGGAATTTGTTTATTTTACATAATCTTGCCAATTTTAAATATGTTACATACTTTTCTGTATTTTATACAACACAAAGTACTGTGCAAAAGTTGTAGGTCACCTCTTATAATAATCACGAGTAAGCAGAAATGCTGTGTTTTAAAACACTTCACAGTTTTTTTTCGTATTTGGTAGCACCATCATGCACGAGCATCGCTTACTACTGCAAAATAACAAATCATCAATAATCCCAGACTAAATATATAAATGGGCATCAATGCCATCCCAGTTTTCAAAGATGAAAGTTTCAGTTTCTGCAAGCTCTTACTTTATAAAATTTTCTATATGTTATTTTCCAAAGATACTCAATAAGAAACGAGGTATTCATGACGGTACAGCTCATCCTACAAACATTATGCTTCTACAGGGACTAGCATAAAAAATTGATTCATCTGAAAACACTATTTCTCTCCATTCCTCCACTGACCTGTTTTTTCGCTTTTAAACCATTTGCAATTTCTTAAGCCTTCCCAGAGGTCGTCGTCTAATTGTGCTTGAACATACTTTTTTCTCATAACATCTTGTAACTTTTTCCCTCAACTGAAAATTTCTTTTTAAAAGACTATCTTAATTCTTTAACTTATACTATAACACTATGTATATTGCTATATTTCACTTGTAGGGTCTACAAAATTATGCATACAGAAAATCTGTATTTACTCCTAAGAGTTGTTTGCAATTCATCAAATACTTTAAAATTATGATATCAGGGCAAAATAAAACAAACCTTTGTTTCTGTTCAATTTTAAATTAGTATATAGATTCCAATCAACATTATCAATATTTATAAATGAAATAACCATTTATGCTCGATTTTTCTTTGTCATATACTCCAAAATGATTAAAATATTTATTTCTAATTAATAGATGATCACGAGTCGAAAACAAGACAGGCATGGCTCGAACTAGATAGGTAAATATTCAGAACTATGATGTTTACTGAAATATTATACAAAGTGGTCCAGCCGTTAATTTCATCCTAGTTAAGGCTATAAACAGCAATCAGTGCGAGGTCGCATTTAAATCACTAAGTATTTATCAGTAATAGTAACTCCATTAAAATTTTGCAAAAGAGCAAGTTAGCTGACACCAGTTGGCAGCTTGCGTTGACGATGAAGACTGTGAGACGGGAACATAGGACAATTAATGGGGGTTGGAGGGGGAGGTGCAAATTAACCAATGAAACTTATATTGGAACAACGGGTACAAGAAATTTCATAATTTCGTTTTATTCTTAAAGTCTTGAATTGAATGTGTGCACAAGCAAAAACAACGTTGTAGATATTATTAATAAACTAAATGTGTTATTTGTTCATTTGTGTTATTTGTTCATTTATGTTATTTGTTTTGATTATACAAATACTATACTTATCACTACCTTTGGAAGCACACCCCTCAAATTTTCCTTACATTTGTTGTGTTTGAGAGATGACTTGATAGATTTTGCTATTTACCAGTGGTTTATAAGAAGAGGGAGTCTTTAACAGAGCCACATGTTGCAGAATAGCCTGAATATAGGTACAAGACAAACTTTTCTTTATGAGGAATAAGTTTTAATATCATGACCATATATGTTAAATTTATTTCCTTCAAAAAAAATTCGGTGGCGCGTATATATGTTGCGTATTTTATAAAATTACGTTTCGCCAGGTTTGTCGATGTTTGTTTAGTCTAGTGGTAAGAGCAGAGTGAATGAAGCCTAGTTATACGAGTTAGAAACCCACCCCCGCAAGTCGGATTTTGTCGAATAATTCAATAATTTTGTCGTTCTCAAAATTGATTTAATCTTTCATTTTTTTCAACCAAAACATAAAAATATAACAATAATCTTGGTAAGGGTTAGGGTTAGGGTTAGGTTTATTTAGGTTTTATAAATAGTTATGTCGGATGAATAGTGTTTGAACATTATGTTCCGATGTTGGATGAATATCCACGACGTTCTTTAAATCATACATTTCCATTAGATATATTAAAATGATTGTTTTGTGTGAAACTAGCTACCTGTATCCAATAAGAAGAAAGATTGGCGATATGAAATAAAGTTGCATATCAACAGACAACTGCCAGCTTGGACTAAGACACAACTGCAATAAAAACATACCCGCCAATTTTTGATCCCTACACCATTGTCTAAAAATCTTTTTTTTTCTTCATGCAGTCAAAGAAAATTTCTGAACATCATCATTATTTATTGTTTTAGTAGAAATATTTTGTTCACACATTAATGAACACAGAATCATGGCCGTATGAATACAATGAAGTGACCTGACTATGCCATTGAATACGATCCTTGTGTATGGCGCGTCAAGATGGACAATATTACCAAAATCGAAAATATTTACAACGAAACACATTATCGTATGTCGAAAATAATATACTGGCAACTTTTTCAATATTTGCAAAACGAAACGCAAAAATATAAAAGAAAACAAAAATTCGTTTACCAGAATTTATATATACACAACGAAATTTATTTTTCAAGTTAGGAAAGTTATTTTTATAAAACGAAACTCATTTATATAAAACGAAATTGACATTCATAAAACGACATTTTCTTCGAACAAACGACATTTTTTAACGCTTTTTTGCGGCCATTATTTTGTAGCCTGCGAAGAGCCATCCACTACAAAATTTTGAGGATGCCTTCGCGAAGGAACTTACATAACTTGACAAACCTTGTTGCAGCAATCGCTCAGCTCTCTGAAAGTGATTGCTCCAACAATTGTGAAAGAACTTTTGAAGGAGATAATGATGCTAACGCTAGCAATATTGAAAGTACGATACGCCCTCTGTTCCCTTCTGCAAATGGTCGTTCATCCACAACCACAACAGTCGGAGGAGCAGCGACTACAGCAGCTAATACTTCAATGCACCACACGTCTCCACTGTTCAACCCAAGTGTAAATTATGGAGGAGGAAAAAAGTCAAAACGCCGTTTTTTCTTTGATGTCAGTGGCATATGGCGCGCCAAGATGGACAATATTACCAAAATCGAAAATATTTACAACGAAACACATTATCGTATGTCGAAAATAATATACTGGCAACTTTTTCAATATTTGTAAAACGAAACGCAAAAATATAAAAGAAAACAAAAATTCGTTTACCATAATTTATATATATACAACGAAATTTATTTTTCAAGTTATGAAAATTATTTTTATAAAACGAAACTCATTTATATAAAACGAAATTGACATTCATAAAACGACATTTTCTTCGAACAAACGACATTTTTTACCGCTTTTTTGCGGCATTATTTTGTCGCCTGCAAAGAACGATCCACTACAAAATTTTGAGGATGTCTTCGCGAAGGAACTTACATAACTTGACAAACCTTGTTGCAGCAATCACTCAGCTCTCTGAAAGTGATTGCTCCAACAATTGTGAAAGAACTTTTGAAGGAGATAACGATGCTAACGCTAGCAATATTGAAAGTACGATACGCACTCTGTTCCCTTCTGCAAATGGTCGTTCATCCACAACCACAACAGTCGGAGGAGCAGCGACTGCAGCAGCTAATACTTCAATGCACCACACGTCTCCACTGTTCAACCCAAGTGTAAATTATGGAGGAGGAAAAAAGTCAAGAAGGTCCAAGACTAGTAAAAATAACAACGGCAAGAAGCTGAAATTGAACGAAGCTCGAACAACTCTAAAAGATGTTGTCTTGATACCATATTCAAGGCAAACTAAAGTACCACGTGGACGGGAAAGAGAAGCAATTTTTTCCGCAGGATTTTTGTCTACGTTTGAGTTAGATCCTTCCATGGATGAGGAAGGAATAAGAACAGCATTAGAAAGCAAGTTTGCAGTGAAGTTTTCGAATACAAGAAAGTCTCCCAAATTCGAAGAGAGCTTACACAGCACCAACGGAAGACACTGGTCAAGGACCAATATATATTCGGGCCAAGGAAGACATTAGTGTGTCAGTGCATAGTTTAGTCAAAATAGAGGACAACAGCAGTGATGACATTAGCTCTGAAGATGATGACATTATTTTGAAAACAACAATGTTCGAGGACCAATTCACAAGTTCATTTTCATCACAAAATTTGGGAGACAATCTAAAATCAACATTGCCTCCCTTGTTGCACTCTTCTTCCTTGCATGATATCTCTCATGAAACGTCAAGTGTGGCTGCCACATGTACAACCTCATCAATTTTGTGTCCAACTTGTAATATGAAATTCAAAATTGATGAAATTGAAGAGCATGCTGATTTGTGTTGTTAAAGTGCTTGGAAAGGCACTAACAGCACTATGTCAGTATAATGTCTCAATTTAAATGTAAAGATGACCAGAATCAACCTAAAGATGACCAGGATCACCATTTGTCGTCTGATGCAGCAGCTGAGAATACTGAACTTTTACAATTTTCATTGCTGGATGAGTTGAAAAGACTAGAAAAAAATTTGGATCAAACCACAAATCGTGTGAATGTGCAAAGGATCAGTATTTTGAACAACTATTTGGATAGGAGGATAAAATGTTCTTGGTTTTCTCCAAAAAACAAAATTAAGGTCGTCTTCATAGGTGAACCTGCCGTTGACGATGGAGGTCCAAGGCGTGAATTTTTTTCTGGTAATGTGACAGAAAAAATAAATTTAGTGCATGTTTTACCCTTTAATGTCCTGTAACATGATGATATTTTTTTAGAAATACTACTTTTGTTGAGAATGCGGCTGTTTGATGAAAGAGGAATGCCTTTGGAAAGCACCATGGCATTAACACAGAACTTGTACAAATATGCAGGGGAAATTATGGTCATGTCAATTCTACAAGGTGGACCAGCTCCAAACTTCTTGTCACCTGTTATTTATGATCTAATTGCAAAAGGACTCTCAGCTGCTAATTTTTGTCTTGATATGATAGAAAATGAGCACTTCAAAAGAATTGGCATGAAGGTATGCTACTTATGAGAGAAATCTATTTTTCTTCTGTTCTTGATCAGTGGTGATTGTTCTTTAGATTGACAATGCAAACACAGACAGTCAACTACAATCATTATTGACAACAGATGATGCTCTTGATGTTCTTGAAAAAGTTGGGTACAGAGGAGTTCCCACACAAGAGACATTGTCAACAAAGCAAAGATTAGTTAGGTAAATGTAAAATTTGAATTTTTTTCCATAAGTTAGTTTTTTTGTAAAATATGTTGTGGATACATAAAATTTTATATGTTATACACACATAAAATTCTGCAAACTCAGGATTATGATTTTAATTACAGTGGAAAAGGGTTCTAATTTTGTTTTTCTAATTGATAAATAGGTCCATAATAATCAAATCATGTATTGAGCCAAAGCTGGCCATGGTCAGGCAATTGGAGGAAGGTCTTGTGCTCTGTGGATTGCTTGAAAGAATACATAATTGTTCTTCTGTTTTAAACCACTGTTTGTGGAAGATGACACCTTTGTAATAACTCCAGACAAATTGCTAGACAATTTCAATGTTCATTTTAGTGAAAGGCAACATGAAAAAATCAAAGAATCCACTACATATAAGCACTTTTGTGACTTCATAGAAGAGCTTGGATATGCTGGTAAAGTATTAAGAATTGTAATAACTTTTTGTCTTTCAAACACCAAACTGTTTTGTTTTTTCTTGTAGGTATAAAAGAGCACAATTTAGAATTAAAGCATCTTTTCCGTTTTATGACTGGATCATACACAATGCCCCCCCTAGGATTTTGGAAACTATGAAAGTGGAATTTGTTCACGGTTGTCCTGAAAATTGCAAGTGCTGCCTAACAGCATCAACATGCCAACTTTCAATAAATATTCCAGTGCATGCTAATACAGGGGAAATGATGAGAGAGCTGATGACATCAGCTTTGCTTGAGGGATATGGATTTGGAAAAATATGAGAACAATGCCAGTCAGTCCTGTTTCATCCAAAAGGAAATGTTTTTAAAGATTTTTTCACATACTCTCTGAACTGTTTTGTTGCAATTTGCATCTGCATAATCTATTCCAATGATGAAACTAATATACCAAGGTTTAATTTTGAAAATAATTTGAAGGGGCTTTGGGTTGTGTATTCTTTGCTTATAAGTTATGTATTCTTTCCAATAAGTTGCATGTATTTACATATAGTTGTATCCCATGTTCACTGTCCTCTTCCAAAGGATTCACAGATGTGGATATAAGAGTGACTTGGTCCTGTGTTAAAACAAGACTTGATTCAGGGATTTCAACATGATTAACTGTTTGTATTAGTGGCAAAGGGCCGTCATCATCTAGTCCATAAGTATCAATGTGTAATGTAGTAGGATCAGCAACTTCACGTAAAGTTTCGTGATTGGCATTTGCAAACTTGTAAAAACCTTCAACCCATAACTGATATGGAGTCATGTTGTGTCCAGTGGATAATGGGTGATTGTTCCATTGGGTAACAAAAAGAACTAAAGCTTGATTAATTCTTGGCTTGAACACATAATGAAGTGCAAATAGATGTAGCTAATTCAATGGATCAAGCAGATCAACTGACTCAAGATAATGGAAGAGGTTACTAAAATAACTGGTCACATATGCGTTAACATCTTTCCACAATCTTTCAATTCTTTGATTGTGCACAGATAACCCTGTAATAAATGGTTTAGCATCAATTCCAAAATGATAGAGCATCCAACGAGCCACATCAATATTTTCTGTGCCATGATCACTTCGTACTCTACGAGGGCACTTGTATGTTTGAATACTTTGCAAAAATAACTGAAAGACAGTACTGCTTGTATTGTTTGTTGAACATCTTAAGTAGACAATGGTTCTGGAGAAGCCATCAACACCTCCATGAATCACAAATCTCCAGCGAATCAATTTGTGATTGCCATCAATATGCCTATGTTGAGAATGCATAAATAAATATCAAGGCAAAATAATATGTTTCTTGAATATATTTAATTTTGTACATCATTTTCTGGATTGAAAAGGCTTTTTGTTATGTTAGTATTGATGTCTTGTTAATAGTGATATCTTGAGACCTACTGTATTCTAATTTTTATAAAATAGCTCCACACCAATACTCAACACTATATTACCTACCATAGCGCATTTGGAATTGTAACATTATATGTTCGACGATGGATTGATGTTTTTTTCCTTAGTTCTCTGCTCACAGGATCAACTCGTCTGATTGAATTTCGGATCTTTTCTCTCTGCACCTTTAAACCAAATCCTTTCAGTGCACCAAATACCATTCTCTCTCCTGAATTTACGGAACGATTTAAGATATGTTCTATATTTGCGTCAAGGTCTTCATCACTTATGTCGCTATAGCTCACAGCCTGCCCAATTTCCATGCGAAGTTCTTTTCTTCGTCGCCGTATTGTTCTTTCCGAAACATTAAGCATCGCTGCAATTTTCTTCCAAGAAAAGTGCAAGCTACGCAGTCCATCAATTTGTTCTTTTGTAATAAAAAATCGTGGCCTTCCAGCAGAGCTCATTTCGTTCTCTTCCATTGGGCATACGTATTGATCGTTTTCGTTGCCGTTATGAATGCTAAACTGAGTTGAAAGTTTTGCAATTTCATTTTGAAAAGCATAATAACATCTGCGAAAAAATGCACGATTTCATTAGTCCATCCCTGAAGGCGAGATAGTAGGCATAGGCCACATAAGTATTCTTCAGAACGAGCCATTATCACCTCAGCCGTAACATTATCTTTCGTAAAAATGTTTCGATGTAGTTCATCAAATAAACTAAAGCCTCTCGTTAAGAATTCCACAACATCCCGATATTCTGCCATATTTAATATGGAAGGGACAGGCAGACAGAAAGGATGGAAGGAACAAGATAAGAGTCATCGACAGTGTTCACGGAACGCGAAATAAAACGCCGTTTTTTCTTTGATGTCAGTGACAGGGCGCGGTAAAAAATGTCGTTTGTTCGAAGAAAATGTCGTTTTATGAATGTCAATTTCGTTTTATATAAATGAGTTTCGTTTTATAAAATAATTTTCATAACTTGAAAAATAAATTTCGTTGTGTATATATAAATTATGGTAAACGAATTTTGTTTTCTTTTTATATTTTGCGTTTCGTTTTACAAATATTGAAAAAGTTGCCAGTATATTATTTTCGACATACGATAATGTGTTTCGTTATAAATATTTTCGATTTTGGTAATATTGTCCATCTCGGCGCGCCATAGTGGCAGGGCGCGGTAAAAAATGTCGTTTGTTCGAAGAAAATGTCGTTTTATGAATGTCAATTTCGTTTTATATAAATGAGTTTCGTTTTATAAAAATAATTTTCATAACTTGAAAAATAAATTTCGTTGTGTATATATAAATTATGGTAAACGAATTTTTGTTTTCTTTTATATTTTTGCGTTTCGTTTTACAAATATTGAAAGAGTTGCCAGTATATTATTTTCGACATACGATGTGTTTCGTTATAAATATTTTCGATTTTGGTAATATTGTCCATCTTGGCGCGCCATACTTGTGGAAGCCAAAGCAATTTTACAATGTAAATATGCTTGTGTGAATGGCGTGTTAACGTCAGTTTGTTAAGAAATATTCAAATACTTCATGTTGCACTATGTGAGACGGCACATGACTGTTAATTGAAGAAATTTACATGCGGTTTCAAACGCCCACGCATAAAGCTTTGCTTTGTTGCCTGTCTTTTTGAGTTGATTAATGAACTTATCAATTTTGAAGTAGAATTTTAAAAATATTGCTTTGTTGATTGCTAATGCCATACCATTGATTTCAAAAAATTGCAAAAATAAACGAACCTTTTTTTTGTTAGTTGTCTGCAGTGAATTCAAACAATAATATTTCACCATGGTATTTAGTATTTTCAAACGTTTTTTGGATTTTTATTTATTTAAGGGTATTATAAGTCTTTATTTTATAATTTTTATTTCCTTTGCAATGACAAAAAGTGTTCAACTCAAGCTATCAGTAATTCATCTAACATGAAGTGACGCTTTAAATACACGGATGAATGGCGTTTTAAAACGAACTAATGCAATAATACGGTTTATCTGTTTTTACCCAATGAAAAGCTCGTGGATCATGGGCTCATAAAGTTCAGCTCTCTATGCACACGTTTCTCACATATTTTCGATGCAGTCGTCTACTAATTGATCATGTAACCAACTCACGATGACAACACTTAAAATTGTTGCCCGTTATACACGCATGTGACATGTTACAACAAAAGTGGATTGTTTTTTAGCATAATTTACATCATTCTAAAATAACATGAAACATTCCTTTGTATCATCATAAAACCAGACTTATCCATCAAATGTTGCGTTCTTTCGACAAGATTTGGCAAGTATTTGACATATTATTGTTAAGATCATTTTACACAAAATGATTGAATGCAAACTAACATAAGAAGTAGCTTACTGCTTTGTAAGTGCGAAAACTGAAAGAACTGCTAAAAAATTTGATTCACTTTTTCTTGCCCAATGAGTAACTAAGTTTGAAAGGGAAGGGCAGTTGTCTCCTGGGTTTATGGCTTACGCTCTCGAATATCCTGAGTACAGTTTTATTAAATGACTGCCGTTTTTTTAGAAGTTAAAGTGTCATTCAAACAAACTTATTCACTTCCAAAAAAAATACTGAAAAAAAACAAAAAAGCTTTGCATTTCTAAAAAGCGCAGAGCTATATTCTGCACAATAACATATCAAAGAAGATAGAATCACGTACGCTCACATAAAAACAAAATAAATGCATTGCAAAACAACACATACAGAGATATATACTAGTTTAAAAGTTTTAATTAATTGTGTTTTGGTTGCGTTCACATGAATTGAAAACGTTGTTAACAACCTTAACGTTTTTTTAACACAATCAAGCAGTTTCAATTGTGAAAAGTTAACAAAATGATTTTTGTAAAAGTTTTACTTTTGTATTTTCTATGTACGTTTTTGCAATCTTTTCCAGCCCAAACTTACGATGTTAGAAAACGGCAACTCTACCATAACGGTAATGACAAATGCGATGCAATAAACTAATACCAATGAAGCCAGAGAATATGTTACCTATAGAAATATATACGATCTTTATAAAAAATTAATTATTCAAAACAAATTAATAGTTAACTGAATGCATTGGTCTAAAATATTTAAATATCATAAAAAGTAAATATTTTGATAGATTGCGTAATCGATGTAAGATAAAGCAATAAAATTCATTGATAATTTTAATAATAATAACTTACAAAGGTAAACCAAGTAAAATGGATAGGGGTTTGAACGTTGTACTTTAACACTAAAATCACTTCAAAATGCACAAGATAGGCAGCATAATTGATGCGACTCAAAGGAATCCAAAACTTTGCTCCTAAAATGTTTTGAATCCAACCTATAATGCATTAAATGTAGAAACTACAGCTTTATGAAACAATGAAGTTATTTTTAGACATAAATTGTTGGCATTTTCAATATTTTTTTCTACAACACAATAAATGCATAATTTTGTCAATATAATCACAAAGAAGCACTTACGTAATTCAGTAGGTTTAGAACCTAGCTATACTCACACTTATTTTTTAAGTGCAATTGCCTTTCCCACCTTCTCACCCCATGGCTATAATTGCTACATAATTTAAACACAGAGTTGTTATAACGTATATGTAAAAAAAAATCTCCTTCTCACCTGCATAGCCATAGTGACAAGCAAATATGAGCCAAACTATAAACAGACCCCAGATGAACCATCTAAAAGCCCAGAAAAACGCACTTTCGGATACCGTCCATACATGAGGATCTTCTTTTACTGAACTGTATGGAGCATATATATCGGTCAGCGCCAAAGCTATGGTAGATATCCAGAGAAAGACGACTATTTTCTAGAATATAAAAAAGTTTACGATACAAACCATGAGCAAAAAAAGGGTAATGGACAATTCAGCCATATTTTAGCGTCAGCACATTTCTAGTGTAAATGCTTGCAATGGATTTCATGCAACGGTAGTGAGAAAACAATATTTGCAGTTTAGCTGTTATGAACTCAGTTACATAAGTACTTGTACAGATACTCAGGTCTTAAAATCCTCGTT